AAGGGCCCTCCCAACCCCAGCCAGTGTGGGATTCCATGGGGTGGAAAGCTGGCTGAGTGCAGTGAGTCCCTGCTGAGCTGCTCCAGACCCTGCTGTCCCAAGGGTGATGGGAGCCCAGGAGCAAGAGCACGGGGATAATTCCCTGTTCAGCAGATACTTGAAGGCTCTCCTTTGTCTGTTCTGAGCAAACTCCCTGCAGCTGCCAGGTCCCACATCCCAAAACTGCTGGGACAGTCACTCTGGGAGTTTCCACATTAGAAGGGAGGTGGGACATGGATGAGGTCTGTGTTGTCATGGAATCACAGACTGGGTTGGGCTGGGAGGGACCCCAAGGAGTCTGCCAGGGAAAGTAGGTCAGAAGGAACAGGAGAACAAGCATGTGCTACAGTCCTGATTCTGTTTGATAAATCCCTTTTTTTTTTTTTTTGACAAAAAGGATTTCTATGTGAATTTCCCATGTGTTTGTGGCCGAGTGTGGTGTGTTAGAGCTGGAGTCTGACAGTTCTCTCTAGTAAACAAGGTAAACAGCTGGAAGTATAAAACCCCTCAGAGTTCTTCCCTGACACTGGGAATGGCTGGATGCTCTCATAGCTCCATCAGGCTCTGATGTTTGGGAATCAGAGCTGCAAACCCAGGATTATTACTGTGCCCTTTTAGCCTTGCTCTCTGTGCTGCTGCTCTGCAGCAGTGCAAGATGTCAGGGTTTCCAGGGTTCCTTTGCTATTCCTTACCCCTCCGGAGGGAATGGAAATCTCCGGATACACCCCTCACAGCTTAGTGCCTTCGTTAAAATTCCTCAAGTTGTCCTTGGCATTTTTGAGTTGAAACCCAGAGTTCCAGGGGAGGAACCCTGAGCACGGAAGTTCATCCGAGCCCTTGTTTACACGGGTGAAATATGTAAACAGTTCTTTTTCCCCAAATATAGGGCTTTTTTCCTTGGCTGCCCTCCCGGTGTTTATAAAAGCCAGTTATGTAAATGACAATTGTAATAATTAAGCTGCTGTTCGGTGCTGTCCCCAGGGCTGCCGCTGCAGAGCTGGGAGCTGCAGGGGCTTGGGGCATTATTGGAGATAATGGGACCTCGCAGAAGGAAATCGAGGGAAATTAAACAAACAAGATCCTCGTTAGAGAATCTCCCATGAGAAAGGAAAGGTCTGGAATGAAGTGATGTTCCAGGGGAGCTCTGGAGGTCGTCCTCTCCAGCCCTGCCCAGAGCTGCTGGTCCAGGGCCATGTCCTCTTGAGTTTTGGGTGGTCCCATGGCTGGAGCCTCCTCAGCTTCTCTGGGTGACTTGTGCCAGCCGGGACCACCATAAGACACATCTTTGTCATCTGTGACAAAACCACCCCAAAATGCTTTCCATGGTAGGTGAAAATGGCTTCAAATTGCACCGGGGAGGTTCAGGTTGGATATTGGGAGGAATTCCTTAATGGGAGATGTTGTCCAGCCCTGGCACAGGTGCAGTCACATCCCTGGTTGGTTTTCACAGGTGTGGCACCTGGGGACATGGTCAGTGGTGGCCTTGGCAGTGCTGGGGGACACCTGGACTCAATGGTGTCCAAGGGCTTTTCCAAGCTCCAGGGCTCAGTGAAATGCCAGCACTTCAGCCTCAGGGTCCTTTGATGATCTGGGTGGGGGCACCTTTGGGGTGGCAGCAGGAGCCCCGAGCAGAGGCTGCAGAGTGCCTTTGGTGGGGACAGAGAGCCCCAAGGGGCAGGAGGGATGGAAGGGGAGCAGGGGAAATGGAAAGGGGGATTGGGAATGGGGCAGGGGAAATGGAAAGGGGCAGCAGGAGGAATAGAAGGGCCAGCAGGAGGGATGGAAGGGGAGCAGGGGGAATGGAATAGTGGCAGGGGGAATGGAAGGGGTGGAAGGACCATGGAAGGACCAGTGGGAGGGATGGAAGGCCGGCAGGAGGGATGTGAGGAGCAGGAGGGATGGAAGGGGCAGCAGCAGGGATGGAAGTGGGACAGGGGGAATGGAAGGAGCAGCAGGAGGGATGGGAGGGCCAGCAGGAGGGATGGAAGGAGCAGCAGCAGGGATGGAAGGAGCAGCAGGAGGGATGGAAGTGGGACAGGGGGAATGGAAGGAGCAGCAGGAGGGATGGGAGGGCCAGCAGGAGGGATGGAAGGAGCAGCAGCAGGGATGGAAGGAGCAGCAGGAGTGTGAGGCCGGCCCGTGTTGATGTGCCCCGGTTAATGGCCCATCAAAGGCACCCCTGGGGAGGGACAAGGGACTCTTTGTTCTGCTCGGCGGGGCAGAGGCAGCCTGTGAGCCGATGGTGGGAGATAAAGAGCAGGGCTGCAGCCGCCGAGCACGGGATGGAGACAGAAGGTTCCCGGTGACTCAGAGGGCGGGGTGCGAGTGGAGGTGATGTGGAGCCCCAGGAGACAGCCCTGGGAGCACCTGGCAGCAGGTGTCTCCTGGGGAGGCTGCTGGGCCAAAAGTCAGGGCTGGACGTTCTGTTCGTGGCTGTTCTACTTAAACAAAGCCAATTTCGCAGTCATTTTGAGGCTTTTGTTCGCTGGAGGTGTGTTGGAATAGCCTGGTTGCAGTATTGCAAAGCTGCTTGGAGCAGCCTGGGACAGTGGAAGGTGTGGATGAGCTTTAAGGTCCCTTCCCACACAAAGGACGATTCCATGATAGGATCTTTAGGCTTAATCTTCCATCAGTCTCAGGCAAAGTGGCTGGTGCTGGTCTTTGTTCCTTCATTTGGATATTCCTGCCCGGGGAGATAACAGGCAGGGGAATGAGCAGCCCATAGTGGCTGCTGAAATGTTGGGATCGTTCTGTTACCACTTCGGGGTTCTCTGCTGATTAAATCACTGTGCCCCGTATTCAGGCTCCTTTTGGTCTTGATGAAAGCGCCGCATTCCTCCCGGGTTTGGTTTGATTGCTGCTGATGGTGTAGCTGATTATCAGCACCTGGCAGCTCTTGAAAGCCTTGTTTTATTGCTCTTGCTGCTGCTCTCAGTCGATCTTCATTCCTGGCATTTGTGCTGCAAGTACCCAGGGGTTGTCCTTGGGGTGGCAGGAAATCTGGGCAGGAGCCCCTCAATCCTTGACTCCTCCAATCCTGCATCCCTTCAGGTCTCTTTCCCTGGCTGAACCCCTTAGACAGACCTGAGCCAGGGCTCAGGAGTTGCGTGGTCGGGAGGGGGTTAATCTGAATAAACCCATTTTTACAATAACACGACCTTCCCTTCCTATAATCCAAACTTTGCTACAGCGTTGCCATGTTCTCCCCTGCAACAACAAGCACAGGCTCGGAACAAGATAACCATGTAATATTTTGGGAGATATCGTTTAGCCTGGCTTCATTTTTCCTTCTGGAGTCGTGTCCAAGGGCAGCATAAACACAGAGACCATCTCGTGTCCCTGCTCGCTGCCTCGTAGATAGCGGGAGCAGCCAGCACAGAAAGGCCCAGCCAAAGTTCTGAGCCACGAGAGAGCTCTGGCAGGGTAGGAGAGGAACCCCAAATCTCTCCAAGCCAGCCTCGGGGCATCCAGTGCTCTTCTGAGGTCCGGCAGGGTAGGAGAGGAACCCCAAATCTCTCCAAGCCAGCCTCGGGGCATCCAGTGCTCTTCTGAGGTCCATGTGTTTCCAGGTGTCCCTTGAGGAGTGGCCTGGGAAGGGTTCCCAGTTCACTCACTGGTTTGGACCCCAGTTCCCAGTGCTGCTGGACTCCCCTGGCCACATGGACAGACATGAGCTAGCATGGAGTAAACTCCCCGAGGTCTGGGGAGCAGCAGGACACCAGCCCTGCCTCTGCAGGAGGCTGCATCATTGTCCAGGCCATCTTGTCAGTGGGAAGCCATCCCCTTGTCCCCAGTCCCTCTCCTGCCACCCCTTTAGGCCCTGGAAGGGGCTCTCAGGTGTCTCTTCTGCAGGTGAACACCCCCAGCCCCTGCAGCACCTTGCACTTGGCCCTGCTGAGCTCCATGGCCTTGGCATGGTCCCAGCTCTCCACCCTGCCCAGATCCCTGGATTCCCCATCCCTGAGTCTCCTGTCACCACCTGGCAGTGCCATGGAAGAGCTGGATCAGCCCTATTTGGTGCTTGCATGGACTCAGGCACGCAGCAAAATGTAAAGTGTTAGTCTTAGAAAGTACAAAATGATGTGAAAAGCAGCCAGAAGAGCCTGTTCCATAATCAGGAAGAGGGAAGGGTTTTAATTGCCATGTTTTATAAACACACAGCTCTTCCTCCCCAAACGCCCTGGCTGCACGTGGTGCCAACACCAACAGCCTCCAAGGGAGACGTGGAGCTGGGGCTGTGGGCAGGAGCCAGCCCTGCTGGGAGAGCTGTCCCATGGCCGTGTGGAGGGCTGGGACTGCCCCCTGCCCTGCTGGGAGAGCTGCCGCATGGCCGTGTGGAGGGCTGGGACTGCCCCCTGCCCTGCTGGGAGAGCTGCCGCATGGCCGTGTGGAGGGCTGGGACTGCCCCCTGCCCTGCTGGGAGAGCTGCCCCATGGCAGTGTGGAGGGCTGGGCTGAGAGGGACACCCTGCCCTGCTGGGAGATCTGCCCCATGGCAGTGTGGAGGGCTGGGACTGCCCCCTGCCCTGCTGGGAGAGCTGCCCCCTGGCAGTGTGGAGGGCTGGGGCTGCTCCCTGCCCTGCTGGGAGAGCTGCTCCATGGCAGTGTGGAGGGCTGGGGTGAGAGGAGCACACTGCCCTGCTGGGAGAGCTGCTCCATGGCAGTGTGGAGGGCTGGGGTGAGAGGGGCACCCTGCCCTGCTGGGAGAGCTGTCCCATGGCAGTGTGGAGGGCTGGGCTGAGAGGGACACCCTGCCTTGCCCAGCTGGAACTGGGGCCATGGGGTCCAGCTAGCCCCTGCTGGGAGAGCTATCCTGGTGGAGTGTGGAGGGCTGGGCTGGGACAGCGCCCTGCCCTGCCCTGCCCGGCTCCGTGGGCTGTGCCCGCCGTGGCAGCCCGGGCACTGCAGGGCCACGCCGGGGGCTGGTGCTGCTGCCTGACGTGGTGCCCTGTGCCCCTGCAGAGTTCTGCCGCATCGACAAGGCCCTGTGCCACGACGAGGACGAGCAGCTGAGCTTCGAGGCCGTGCGCAACATCCACAAGCAGATGGACGACGACGCCAACGGCAACGTGGACGTGGAGGAGAGCGACGAGGTCAGTCACAGCGGCCGGGCTGCATCCCGTGGGGCTGCATGGAGCCAGGAGAGTGAAGAGGGTATTTATTGCAGGGCCTTCATAGGTCACACCCTGACAGGACTGCAGCCACAGTCGTAGCTCTGCCCGGATGGCAGAGATGGAAGCAAAAGAGGGTTTGGTCATGAGATCTCCCATTTTTATAAGTTTTAGTCCATTTGCATACAGGAGCCAACTGTCCAATTAATAGCTTCAAATGATGAAGTTTCATCCTCCTCGCTCGCTTGCCCACCCTCCTGTTTTCACGTTGTTTGTGCTTTGGGCCTGGAGTTGGAAGAGATTGTCCTTGAGTCTCCAGCTGGAATAGGATAGTTTTGTCTTCCCCACCCTGTGAAAAGATCCCAGTAACACTTAACATAAAGCTAAAAGCTGCACACCAAAACAGAACAGAGAAACTTCAAGCCCAAGGTATGACCAGGGCCTTGCCCAGCCCAGTGCTGGGGCTGCTCTCACAGTCAGGCTGCTGTGGCCAGGGCTGCCCCTGGGCTTGGTGCCTCCTCCTCAGCACAGAGGAAGCCACGTGTCACCTTGAGATGATCCAAGGGGTGTCTCAGCACTGTCACCAGTGCTGGCTGGGGCTTCTCCTCCCTGCTGGGGGCTTGTAGCCCCTTCATTGTTGTCAGAGCAGCTGTGGCTGCTCCATCCCTGGCAGTGTCCAAGGCCAGGTTGGATGAAGTTTGGAGCAGCCTTGGATAGTGGAAGAGGTGCCCTGCCCGTGGCAGGGGATGGAATGAAATGAACTTTAATGTCCCTCCCAACCCAAACCATTCCATGATGTTATGTTTACTGCATTCTTCCAGCAGCCAACTAAAGAGATTTCAAGCCATGTGTGCTCAGTGCAAAAAAAGGAGCAGCTTTTTGTTGTGTCAGCCTTGGACATTTTAGCTGATAAAGGATTGAAGAGAAGGAAAGTTGTTGTTCTTTATTTACACAAGACTGATGGAAATAAGAGTCTGCAGGAAGAGGGAAAGCTCTTTGTTTGCAGTGTTGCCTCAGTTGTGGTGGGTGCTCGTTGGAGGTGAGGAATTCTGTCTTCTAGGGAGAACTGGCAGCTAAACAGGAAAGGCAGAGTGTTGGAAGCTGAAAGGAAGCACGTGGGTGCAGGGATCTGCTGCCACTCACGGGTGGCTCTGCAGGCCCAGGTGACAGAATCCCAGACTGGTTTGGCTGGAAGAGACCTTAAATCCACCCAGTGCCACCCTGCCATGCCAGGGACACCTTCCCCTGTGCCAGGCTGCTCCAGCCCCAGTGTCCAGCCTGGCCTTGGGCACTGCCAGGGATCCAGGGGCAGCCCCAGCTGCTCTTGCAAGCCCAGCCATCACAATGTCCCTCTGGAGCAGTGGCAGTCCCCAGGGACACGGCACAGGCCCCTGGAGCCAGGAGCTGCTGGTTTGGGGTGGCTGTTGCCAGCTTGCAGGGCTGTTCCCTCTGCCTCAAACCCACTTGACTGAGTAATGAAAACCATTGAAAGGCTTCCAGTTGCATTTCCTCCAGCACTTGAGGTGTTCCCTGGAGGCAGTTCCCTGCCCTGGTGGCTGGAGCTGCAGCTCAGCCTCTCCAGGGACTGGGGCAGCCCAGTTCAGCCCAAGTGTGTGTTCCCTGCCATTAAATCAGGAAGAAGGCTCGTGTCCTCAGGGCTGGGCAGAGCTGGCAGTTTTATGTCTCTAAGCAAATCTTGCCCCCACTCCCACTGGAGTCACTGGGAGCTCCTGGTACAAAACACTGCTGGGAACGTGTGCTCAGAGCCTTGGCACAGAGACACTGCCAGGGAGGGAGGAATTCAATGGGTTTTCCACGAGGCTCCAGAGTCACTGCCTTGGTGCTCTTAGTGCCACTCCCCAAACCCCTCTGAGCTGGATCTGAGAGTGCTGAGCCCTGCCAGGGCTGCTCCTGCTCCCAGCACCTCTGCTCTGCTTCTGGCAGGGCAGCAGGCCTGGAAAAGGCTCTGGGGCACCAGGAGAGGCTGAGGCTGGAGCAAAGGAGGCTCAGGGGCCCTTGTGGCTCTGCACAAGTCCCTGGCAGGAGGGCACAGCCGGGGGGTCGGGCTCTGCTGCCAGGGAACAGGGACAGGAGCAGAGGGAACGGCCTCAGGCTGGGCCAGGGCAAGTTCAGGTTGGACATAGGGACAATTCCTCCTGGAAAGGGCTGTCCAGCCTGAGTGGGGCACAGGGGCACAATCCCAGTCCCTCTCCTGCTGCCCACACTGTGGGACCAGCCCAGGGCACAGGGATTTCAGGGCCTGGGGAGCCTCTCCCAGCAATCCCAGCTCCTTGTCCCCAGGGCTGCTCCCAGCCCATTGTCCCCAGGCTGTGTTTGTGCTGGGATTGCCCCGAGCCAGAGGGCTCAGGCTGTTGCATTTACAGCTGGACTCCATGATTTTGGAAGTCTTTTCCAACCTCAGTGATTCCCTGTGCCTGGATTCCATCCATGCAGTTGCTGCTTTACCTCTGCTAAGCTTTTATTGAAGTTGCATTAAGTTCACCTGTCAATAAGCTCTGGAGCCACTCAGTGAGGTATTGCAGGAATTTCCCTCTCTGAGCTGGCTCCTGCTGTGTTCTCCCTGTCAAGGTTATCACTCTTCCCCCACATGGACCCTGCAGTCAGGTTTAACTGCGGGCTGTGGGGGGACAGCTGCTGGGGGATTATTGGGAAGAATGCAGGAGGCTCAAATTTAAACCTTTTACGGGGTTCATGGGCTTCCAGGATGGTCTGGGTTGGGAGAGACTTTAAACCTCATCCAGTTCCACCACCTGCCATGGGCAGGGACACCTTCCATTATCCCAAGCTGCTCTAAGCCTGGTCCAGCCTGGATTGGAACTCTTCCAGGGATGGGCATTGTCCTGCTAGGTTGAGAACTTTATATTTTCATTTATTTTTTTGGCCCTGCCCTTTGGGGGTAGGTAATGGGAGTGTTTTGTTTGGACTGAAACCCTTGCCTGGGCAGCAGGGGACACGCATACAACACAGGTATTTTTAAAATAAATTGTGGGTGGAGTTTTGTCCCACAGCTTCACACTGCCCATGCATCCTCCTTGCAGTTTTCCTGCTGGGAAGTGAATCTTCAATGAACTTTCAGATGACATCAGTGGCCTCGATTAAAGTGAAAGAACTGTCCCTCATGGGGAAATCTTCTAATTAGGGATCTATTCCTGTCTCCACGCTCACAGCAAAGGCAGCTCTGGCTCTTTGGGATGCGGGTGCCCGCTGCCAGGGCTCTGGGATGCTGCCAGCCTGGTTTCCTCAGGAAACAAGGTTTGTGTTGCTGCTCAGCCTTTCTGTGGCTCCTCCCAGAGCCAGATCCCGCTGCTGCCTGGGCTCAGGGGGTGGGGAAGCCTTGGGGACAGGAGTTTTCTGTCCCTTGGGTGGAGCTGGGGCTCAGGGCAGCTGTTGGAGCTGGGCGCACGGTGCGCTCGTGGCACGTGGCCGGTCTGGCCCCTGGCTGGGCACAGCGGGAGCTGGTGCTGGGGAGGGAGGCTGGCACACATCCAGGGATGTGGGAGGGATGGGAAGCTTTGAGAAATCACTTCAGTAGCTGGAGTTTCTGCAGATAAAAAACCCACAGAACGGAGTTCAAGGAGAGGTTGGACAACGCTCTCAGGCACAAGGTGGGATTGTTGGGGCTGTGAAGAGCCAGGACTGGGACTTGATGATCCTGTTGAGTCCTTCCCAACTTAGAATCACATTTTGTGATTCTATGGGGGAAAAAAGCCCTCCAGAAAATCCCATTTTGTGGATCTGCTCATTTCTGAGTGTGCCTTCAGCCAGCAAGTTTGTCCCCAGTCCTTCTGCAGCTCTCCTGGAGCCCCTTCAGGCCCTGCCAGGGGCTCTGAGCTCTGCCTGGAGCTTCTCCTCTCCAGCTGAGCATCCCCAGCTCTCCCAGCCTGGCTCCAGAGGGGCTCCAGCCCTGGAGCAGCTCCATGGCTCCTCTGGGCTCTCTCCAGCAGCTCCAGGTCCCCTCCTGCTGTTGGAGGCCTCAGAGTACCAAGAGCAGCGTTCCCAGGCTGAGTCTTCCCACTGTGATCCCAGCTCCTCCTGGGGTTTGTAGCAGTGCTTCTGGTCCTGTTGCTTTTGGCTGGTTTGACCAGGGTTTGTCTTTCCCTGAGCTTGGTGGGGAGACTCGGGTTTGACTCGGTTTCCTTGTGGATTCACAGCCCGGTGCTCTGGGTGGGATCTTGGAGATGGTCTGGGTGGGATCTTGGAGATGGTCTGGGTGGGACCGTGGCAATGCTCTGGTCCAGGGCTCAGAGCTTTGGGTGTCCAGGCCTGGGATCAGTGGGATCTTTAACGTGCTGCTTTTCAGTGGTTTGCAAGTAGGTCAGTGCTCTGCACAGCGGTTCTTGTGCCTGGGGTTTGGAATATCTGGGATGGTGGAAGGTGCCCCTGTCCATGCCAGGGGAGGAACTGGGTAAACTTTAAGGTCCTTCCCAACCCAAACCAGTCTGGGACTCCAGGATTTTGTCTTTTCCCCAGAAGGTACTGGTGGAAAATGTGCTTGAAGGAGGCTTTGGTGGGCTCAGCCCAGCTGCCCCAGCCCCATCCTGCATCCTGTCCCTGCTCGTTGATGGGGACATCCCAGCCCAGCTCCGTCCCCTCCAGCGAGTCCTTGGGTTTGTTTTGGAGCCCGGGGGAAGCTGAGGGATCACCTTTCCCTTCTGTGCTCCCGAGCTAAATATACAGAGCAGCAGCTGACCTGCTGCAGCCAGAGCTGGAGCTGGAGCAGGAGCAGGGCTGGTGACATGGGTGACATTGCCATGTTCCTGCTGGGGCACGGGGACAGCGCCTCTGGGCCAGGCCTTGGCACAGCTGGAGCCCCAGCCTCGGCCCCTGCTGCAGCCATGTTTACCACATTCTCCCCTTTTCCCATTTCCCACATTTCCCCAGATTCCTCCATTTTCCACATTTCCCAAATGCTCACATTTCCCCAGATTCCTCCATTTTCCACATTTCCCAAATGCTCACATTTCCCCATCTTCTCCAGTGTTCCACGTTTCCCAAATTCTCACATTTCCCACATTGTCATGTTTTCCACATTCCCCAAATTCTCAAATGTTTTCCACATTCCCCACATTTTTCCATTTCCTACATTCCCCAAATTCTCCCATTTTCCACATTTCCTCCCATTCTCCCCATTTCCACATTTCCCCAAATGCTCCCTTTTCCACATTTTCCCATCTTCTCCAGTGTTCCATGTTTCCCAAATTCTCCCATTTTCCACATTCCCCACATTCTCCCCTTTTCCACATTTCCCCACATTCTCTCCATTCCCCACATTCTCCTGTTTTCCACATTCTCCCCTTTTCCCCATTTCCCCAAATTCTCCCATTTTCCATATTCCCCACATTCTCCCCTTTTCCCCATTTCCCCACATTCTCCCATTTTCCCCATTCCCCACATTCTCCCCTTTTCCCCAAATTCTCCAGTTTTCCACATTCCCCACATTCTCCCCATTTCCCCACATTCTCCCATTTTCCACATTCCCCACATTCTCCTTTTTTCCCCATTTCCCCACATTCTTGTTTTCCACATTCCCCACATTCCTGTCCCAGCCCTGTGTGATGCTCAGGCACCATCTCCAGACCTCAGGCTGTTTTTGGGTGTGGGATCAGCCTGTTGCACATGGAGAGCCCAGGGATGGATCTCCAGACCTCAGGCTGTTTTTGGGTGTGGGATCAGCCTGTTGCACGTGGAGAGCCCGTGGAGAGCCCGGGGATGAAGCTGCCTGTGTGGGGATCGTGTCCTGGGGGGTGGGAATGTGGAATTATCCTTGAACTTGGTTCCACCTGTTGGGCTCTGGGATGTGAGTGGTTCTCTGGTGGATTTCACAGCCTGGTTTGGGTTGGGATGGACCCCAAATCCCACCCAGTGCCACCCTGCCATGGCAGGGACAGCTCCCACTGTGCCAGGCTGCTCCAGCCCCAGTGCCCAGCCTGGCCTTGGGCACTGCCAGGGATCCAGGGGCAGCCCCAGCTGCTCTGGGCCCCCACTGAGCTGGGATACATAGATTTATCTGTATTTTGCAGTGGAACTGCCTCCCCTCCTGCCTGTGGCATTTGTTCCAGCTGGGATTTGAAGGTGTAGATCAAATCCAGTAATATTTTTTGGGTTCTTACTCAATTGACATAAAGCTGTTTCCATTGTGCCACTTAGGTGAATTTTTGGGGTTACTATAATTCAAAAAAAAGTTTGGAATCCCAAGACCAAACATTCTAATTAATTATCCATACTCCATTATAAATTAATTTAACGTATTTATTTACTGAATATTTCCTGGCTGGTCTTTCCAGGAACAGAGATATTCAGGGCTACTGCAGGGAATATACTTATATCTGTATAAAAGATAGATGTGTATATCTTATATATCTAATATATCCATCATGTTTTTCTAATTCAGATTTATTATAACTTTCCCATCACAATTAGTACTATTCAGAAATTTCCTTTATGCTCCTCATCTCCCTATAAGATGAAGCAAAGCTTAATCGTGCTGTTAATTCCTCTCCTAGTTCTTGAGGGAAGACTTGAATTACCATGACCCAGCAGTCAAGCACAGCACTTTCCATGGAGAGGACAAGCTCATCAGTGTGGAGGATCTCTGGAAGGCCTGGAAAACATCCGAAGGTAAAAAGGGGCAAAAAGCCAAGAAATCCTTTCCCAGGAGTGCCAAAGAGTTGGGATTGCAGATGCCCTGGGCAGAGTGTGCAGCTCTCAGGAGGAGTGTGCTGCTTTTCCTCCCTTGTGCCAGGCCTTGTGCTCCTCAGCTCCCTTTTTGAGGTGTGGATTCCCAGGATTTCCTTGGGGCTGGTGCTTCCAAACTGTTCTGCTGCACCTGAACGTGCCCACCCAAGGATCAGTTCTTGTTTTGTTCCTCTGCCCTAAAATGTGTGTTAAATACAGCCAAATTCCAGGTTCTTCAAACACCCAGTTCCAGGAATTGTAATGGGGTGATGGCATCCTAAATACTCAGTAGGGCTGCTTGGGAGCTTTCCTGCAGGTTGGGTTTTAATTAGGAGAAACATTTTTAACCTGGGAAGCTCCTTCACAGTGAAAAGAGGGAAGAATAAAATCCAGGAAGTGTCATAAGTACAGTCCACCTAGAAATAACTTAATGCTGTTATTTACCCCAGCATCCAGGGAGGTGGTGGGACTTCAGCTTCTGCTGAGAAACATCCTGAAACCTGGGAATCTTGGAACAAACTTTTGAGATTGGCAAGTGCTTTCACACAGAATTCCACAGAAATCATTAATCCAGTTTTTTCAGTGCTCCTCATCTCTAAAAGAGGAGTTCTGTCTACGTCCATTCCCTGAAATACTGGATATTAATCTTCTCATCAGTTCATCAGCCACAGAAATTTCAGTTTCTCATTTCTGTCCTGTGTTTGGCTTTTCTGTATTAGCCCTTAGATTCCTCTGGGATGTGCTCTGTGTTTCCAGAGCTGTGGGTGCAGCCTCAGGGAGTGCAGCAGTTGCTCCCATTCCCAGGAGCACTGAATGGACCCTGAGCTGCAGCGTGGGTTGAAAACACACTGGGGCTGTGCATGAGGAGAGGAGGCTCCAGGAGAGCTGCAGAGGGACTGGGGACAAGGCCTGCAGGGACAGCACCCAGGGAATGGCTGCCAGTGCCAGAGGGCAGCAATGGATGGGATCTTGGCAATGAGGAATTGTTCCCTGGCAGGGTGGGCAGGGCTGGCACAGGGTGCCCAGAGCAGCTGGGGCTGCCCCTGGATCCCTGGCAGTGCCCAAGGCCAGGCTGGGCACTGGGGCTGGAGCAGCCTGGCACAGTGGGATGTGTCCCTGCCATGGCAGGGTGGCACTGGGTGGGATTTGGGGTCTCTCCCAGTCCGAAACAGTCTCTGTGGTATCCATGTGGTAATTCCAGGGCTGTGTACCCCAGACCAGACTCTCTCCCGTGTTGTTGGGCTGGGATGTGTTGAAAATTCTTGTCCACCTCACTTTAGGAGTGGCACAATTGCCCAGGCCAGGGCTGGAATCACATCCTGGGCATTTCACAGCCCTGTGGATGTGGCACTTGGGACCATGGTCAGGGGTGGCCGTGGCAGTGCTGGGGGTGGCTGGGCTCTGTGGGCTCAGAGGCATTTCCCAGCCTCAGGGATGCTGTGATTCCATGTTTCCCAGTCCCTGTGCCTCCTGTGTGCCAGGAGTGCCTCCTGTAAGAAATATTAATCCCCTTCCAGGCCTGTTTACACACGGCTTTGGCTGGAGTGTGATTTGCTGCCAGCTGGGAAAGGGCAGAAATCATAAAGGGATGGAGGAGAGCATCCCTTGATACTCAGCAGGCCCCTCATGACTGAGCTGCCCCAGCTCTGTCCCTGCCTGCCCAGCCAGGAGTGCCACGCTCTGCAGGGCTGCCCTGGCACACCGGGTGCCCAGTGCTCCTGCTTTCCCTTTCATCATCCTGTAGATCTGGCTGATAGGACAAGTGGCTGCCTTCTGAAGGGTGCTCTGATGTCATGGAACCTCAGGAGTTAGGGGTGGGAGGGACCCTACAGCCCACCCAGGGCCAGCCCTGCCAGGCAGGGAACCTTCCACTGTGCTCCCAGCCCCAGTGTCCAGCCTGGCCTAGGACACTGCCAGGGAAATTTGAAGCCTCATTTTGGAGTTTGAGCTGAAGTCATGAATCAGGCTGGTAGGAAAGGTCTGCTCCCTCCTGTGGGTGTGAAAACAGCTGTGAAGGGCACTGACCTCCCTCAGGGATGGGGTGCCTGGGCCTGTGTCATCTCTTTTCAAGCCATTGCTTTTCCTCCCTTCCATTGCTGCTGTTCCTGGTCACATGCGGAAAGTAAAAAGATATTTCTGCCCCTGAATTATGGCAGAAGATAAAGGCTGTGATGCCTCACGAGGTGCTGGATCTGAGGGTGGCACCTGGGTGAGCTGGCTCTGCCAAAGCTGTGAAAGCAGTGCCAGATCAGTCCCGGGGGTGAGGAGGCAGGGCAGGGTCCTGCTCCTCTGTGCCTGTGGTTCTCCGGCATGCTTCCCAAAAGGAACACCTCACGTGGAGGTGAGAGAAGCCAGGGGCTCTGGAGGAGCCAGGGCTGGCAGTGCTCTGCTGGGGATGTGGCCTCCTGTCCTGTGCAGGGCCTGTGGCTTCTCCCATCCTCCCATCATTGCCATCCTGCTGGTGCCCACAGCCACAGGTGTCCCCTGGTGGGTGGGACAGTGACAGGAGCTCCCTGCAGCCAGGGAGGGTTGGTGGCATCATCTGTGCCACCTGCAGCTGGGTCACCGTGCCAGTGTCCGTGGGGATGGCACCTTCCTTTGGAGCCTTGCTGTCCTCACTCAGCTCTGGGCTCTGCCTCATCTCCCTCAGCTTCATCAGCTCCCTCATCTCCCTGAGCTTCATCAGCTCCCTCAGCTTCATCCACTCAGTTAGCTCTGAGCTCACTCATCTCTCCCAGATCCCTCATCTCCCTCAGGTCTGTGAGCTCCCTCAGCTTCCTCATCTTCATCTTTCTCCACTTCATAGTTCAGTCAGCTCTCTGAGCTCCCTCATCTCCCTCAGCTCCCTCATCTCTCCCGATCTCTCGTCTCATTTATCTGAGCTCCATCTCCCTCATCTCTCTCATCTCCCTCAGCTCCCACAGCTGCAGCTCCCTCATCTCTCCCAGATCTCTCATCTCATTTCTCTGAGCTCCATCTCCCTCATCTCTCTCATCTCCCTCAGCTCCCACAGCTGCAGCTCCCTCATCTCTCCCAGATCTCTCATCTCATTTCTCTGAGCTCCATCTCCCTCAGCTCCCCCAGGTCTCACAGCTCCATTTCCCTCATCTCTCCCAGATCTCTCATCTCATTTCTCTGAGCTCCATCTCCCTCAGCTCTCTCAGCTCCCCCACATCCCCAGCTCCCTCATCTCCCAGACTGCCCATCCCTCACCCCCCAGCTCCCCACTGGGAGGCGTTGGGCTCCCTGGAGTTTGGGAAGCTGTTTCTGTGCTCGTGGGCCCTGCCAGGGCTGCCACTGCAGCAGAGCCATGCAGCCCTGCCAAGGACAGGGCCAGGGGATGGTAAATTCAAGTGTAACAAAGCCCCCTCTGTCCAATAAACACATCTGCCTTGTCCCAGGCCGGGTTGGACATGACACTGAGGCAGTGGGGGTGTCCCTGCCATGGCAGGGGTGGCACTGGGTGGGATTTAAGGTTCCTCCCAACCCAAACCAGTCTGGGATTCTGGGATTGTGTTTGCCTCCAGAGCATTGCTGTCAGTACAGCACAACAAAGTGGCAAAGGCAGGAGCTTGATTTCCTAAGGTTTCCTGATTTATGGCTGCATAACAGCTCCAGAAATAGTCCACAGATGCCCAGGGGAGGAGGGTAAGGAGCAAAGTTCACCTGGTTCACTTGGGCTGAGCTCACCTGCTCCACCTCCTCCCACAGATCCTTTCTCAAGCTGCTTCTGATGGGTTTGTCTGGCACTGCTCTGTGTGTGCCTTTCTCAGAGCTCAGAGGGAACCCCACAATCCCAGCCTGGTTTGGGCTGGAATGGGCCTCACATCCCACCCAGTGCCACCCTGCCATGGCAGGGACACCTTCCCCTGTGCCAGGCTGCTCCAGCCCCAGTGCCCAGCCTGGCCTTGGGCACTGCCAGGGATCCAGGGGCAGCCCCAGCTGCTCTGGGCACCCTGTGCCAGGGTCTGGAGCAGGGGGTGAAGCTTTGGGAGCTGACCTCAGAATTCAGGGTCTTTGGGCCTGTGCTGAGGATGAGCATTCCCTGCTGGAGTGTGGAGGCAGCAGGATCACCTGGCTGGTAGAAATCCCAGTGATCCCAGCTGGCACCTGCCAGTGCTTTGGGTGTTGGCCCTGCCAGGGTGCCATGGCAGGAGGTGGAGCCTCCTCTGCTCCTCTATCTGATGGCCTCATTGCATGTGTTCATTTTGGGAGCTGCAGGGGCAAACCAGCCCTGGGAAGGGTGTGGTGTCACAGGGAGAGCTCCAGGCAGCTCTTCCCCTGCCGTGTGGGGGCTCAGGGGCAGCAGAACCTCAGGAGTTCCTGAGGCTGGGCAAAAATTATCCCAAAAGGAGAGGCTGAGATCCTGTAGGACTGCCTGCAGTGTCCCACTATCGGGGGCAGCAATGGATGGGATCCTGGCAATGAGGAATTGTTCCCTGGCAGGGTGGGCAGGCCCTGGCACAGCTGGGGCTGCCCTGGATCCCTGGCAGTGCCCAAGGCCAGGCTGGGCACTGGGGCTGGAGCAGCCTGGCACAGTGGAGGTGTCCCTGCCCTGGCAGGGTGGCTCTGGGGGCTGTGGGTCCCTCCCAGCCCGAAGCTGTGAGCCCTGCTGTGCCATGCCCCCGCTGAGCGTGGCTGCTGTGCTCTCTGCAGTGTACAACTGGACGGTGGACGAGGTGGTGCAGTGGCTCATTGCCTACGTGGAGCTGCCCCAGTACGAGGAGACCTTCCGCAAGCTGCAGCTCAGCGGCCACGCCATGCCCAGGTCAGTGCCACTCCGGGTCAGGGGCAGTGCCATGCCCAGGTAAGTGCCGTGCCAGGGTCAGTGCCATGCCCAGGTCAGTGTCATGGCAAGGTCTGTGCCAGTCCGGGTCAGTGCCCACAGTGTGCCCATGGGATGTGTGCAGGGAGAGAACCAGGGCCTGGCAGGAGTCAGCTCCTCTCACCACCTGAAGTTCCTTGGCCTGTGCCCTGCCCAGTTCTGCTCCAGCTGTGACTGGAAAGAGGGGAAGTTTGGGTTAGATACAGGGAAGGGTGGGCAGGGCTGGCACAGGGTGCCCAGAGCAGCTGGGGCTGCCCCTGGATCCCTGGCAGTGCCCAAGGCCAGGCTGGGCACTGGGGCTGGAGCAGCCTGGCACAGGGGAAGGTGTCCCTGCCATGGCAGGGTGGCACTGGGTGAGATTTAGAATCTCTCCCATTCCATTCCATGATTCCATGGAAGAGGAGCACTGGCTGGGAGTCAACCTACACTTGTAACAGGTTGCAAAAACCTCAGTGCAGCTTTTTTGGATAAAGGTTCCTCTCACTGAAAGGGGCCTTTTCAACTGACTGGGAAGGAGGGATTAACTGGGGATAAAATGAGGGTGTTTTGGAGGCAGCACAATGTGTGCCCACATTCCTTCCAAGGGAGAGCTGTGGTTTATGGGCTGTGGCACAGCATGTAAAGGCAATGGAGATTTGGTTAAAAATACTTACTAGTGATTTGTGGGACACCAAAAGATGGGTTTTGATGGGAAATCACTTCCTCATGTTCTCAGGTTAATGAATTAGGCCTGGCCCTGATTTTTCCTAAAAATGTTGCTGCAAAGTGTCCTAGAGACCCTCTGGTGGGTGTCTCTAGGACACTTTGCAGCAGCATTTTTAGGAAAAACAGTAAGGGATTTGGCCTGGCAGCAGGGAGCTCCTGGGCCCTGCGCTGCCTCTCTGTGCTGTGTTGGTGCCCCGGTGGCCGTGCCCTGAGCCGTTTCTCCCCTGTTGTGCAGGCTGGCAGTGAACAACGCCACCATGATGGGCACTGTGCTCAAGATGACCGACCGCAGCCACCGGCAGAAGCTGCAGCTCAAGGCCCTGGACACGGTGCTCTTCGGGCCTCCCCTCTGTGAGTACCCCAATGCCAGCCCTGGGAACAGCCACCAGGGCCACAGGGCTGCTCAGCCTGGCCACCAGAGCCGGGCCTGGGTGGCCCGAGGTGCCCAGCACAGCCTCAGCCGGGGAAGTCACCCCAGCACAGTTCCCTGGAGCAGGAGCAGGTTGGTCCTGGGTTTGTGGGAGTGGCTCTGTAGCCTGGAGCCTGCTGGGCTGGCATTCCCATCCCAGAGGAGCAGCTGGCATCTCCCACTGTCCTGCTGGCATCTCCTGTGTCCAACGTGCTGCCCTTGTGTGGTGCTGGAGGGCAGCAGTCTGCCTGCTCCCAGGGCAGCTGCTGCCATGTCCTGGAGCTCTGTCATCATGTCCTGGGCTTTCCTGGGGCTCCCCTGTCCTGCCCTGAGGCTCTGCTGGTCACTCTGGCTGTGAAGTACCCACCTCTGGAGGAGGGAAGGAGCACAGCTGGGTGGGAAGTTCAGGGTGGTGGTGGGAGGCCAGGGCTCCTTTGATGCTTTATCAGGATCTCCAGCTCTCTGATGTGTATCTCCACGCTCCAGGTGCTCCCAGTTCCCTCTGGCTCCTGTCTGCTCCCTACTGAAGGTGCTTTTGTCTCTGCTCCTCTGGCATGGCTTTCTCCCAGGATTTGGGTGCAGAGGGGATCCCCCCTTTCCTGCTGCCCATGCTGGGGGATCACCACGGGAATTTTGGGGTCCCAGTGCTCGTGGCTGGGGCATGTCTGGCCTCTGCCACTCCAGCACCCCAAGTCCTTCTCCCCAGAGCTGCTCTCCAGCACTCCCACCCAGTCCTGGGAAAGCTGCCTGCACAGTGTGAGCCTTGGCAGAGCCACAGGGGGGAAATCACAAGCCTGGCTTGTACAATCTGCCACTTTTGCTCACAGTTATTGAAAAGCCTCTTTTTGCACAGGCACTGTTTGGTTTTTATTTATTGCCTATGTTAAATGTGCAGCTTTTTGATGCCTGGGTGGCTCCAGCCAGTGACTCCTGTGCTGGGGGCAGAATTTTTCCAGAGCTGTTGTGCTGTGTAAATGGCAGAGTGAATGGCTTGTTCTGGCTGGGAATTAATGTCTGTTGCCACGCTGGAGCTGTTTGTTCTGCCCTGCAGCTCCCTGGCCCTGCAGGCTGACCCTCCCTGGGGCACAGAGATCAAAGTGTGCAGGGAGCCGTGGTGCTGGGGCTGCTCACACACCTCTCAGCTCCTGCCTGGGAGCTCTCCAGCCAGCCTGGGCTCCTGGAAGGTGTCCTTGCTCACAGCAGGAGTGGTATGGGATGAGCTTTCAGGTCCCCCCCAAGCCCAACCCTTCCCTGCTTCTAAGATTGTATATACAGAGTGTGTGAGAAGAGGAAATACACTTTAAATCTGTAGCTGAAGGAGAGTTTTATCCCTTTTCAGAAGGTAAAATTTGCTGGTTTCTGCTCATCTGAAAGGCTTTGTCTCCAGGCGTGGGGAGAGGTTGTTTATCCAAACCAATTCCTCCAGGAATGGATTGCAAAACACCTTTCAGAGCCCCCAGCAAGTGGCAGCTGTGGGCAGTGCTGGGTGACCTTTCAAGCTGCAGAAGCTGCTTCACACCTCCTTTGCCATGCTCAGGGAGTGGCTCTGGAGGGGAGCTGGGCGCTGGGGGTCTCTGAGCTGCTGGCAGTGCCATTGGTGCACAGGTGCAGAGCTCCAAGGGTTTCTCTCCTCTTGAAGCTCTGTTCACCACAGGTGTAAAAGCTCTGATAAAAGCAGCCTCAGTTGGAGCCCAGCCTCCTGCAGGCTCCTAAATCCAGACACCCTGCTGCCCGTGGGGAGCCCAGCAGGGGGACACAGGGCTGTTCCTGCTGCTGGCTGAAGCTTTTCCCCAGCCAGGGCTCCAGGGGTGGGTCTGGCTCGTGGCAGAGCTTCCAGCCAGATTCCATGGCCAGTTTCCCTGTGGTCTGCAGCTCCTGCCATCCCTCCAGGTCTGGTTCCTGCTGCCAGGCTCCAGCCCTGCCATTTCCTACAGCAAACAGGTCTGACCACTTCAGCTCTGCAATTACTCCAAGTGCAAGGGAGCGTGGTAGAATTATGCTCTAAGCAGGATAAGGTGATTCCTTCTTCTGTGTCTGTCCCTTTGGGGTCCTGCTCCTGTGGTCTAGGAATTTACCTGGCACTAAATAGCACAAGTTCAGGTGAAACATGGAATCCCAAGATGGTTTGGGTTGGGAGGGACCCCAGGGCTCTCCCAGCAACTCCAGGTGCTCCTGCTGTTGGTGTCCCAGGCCTGGAGGCTCTGCAGGTGCAGCTCTGCTGCTTTTGAGCTTAGGAGAGAAGTTTCTGTAATTTCAGCTCCTTCCCTGTTCCTCCTGTGCCCTGGGCCAGAGACTAGGGCAGGGCGGCAGTTCCACAGCAGAGCCTGGGATTGTTCCTGTGCAGTCATTGTGATTTAAATCCCTCGGGATTTGTCCCTGGCCCACAGCAGGGCTGGCACAGCCTGCTCTGCACCCGTGTGGCCGTGGCTGCTCCCAGCAGCAGGCAGACCTGAGCTCACCTGACACCTGCAAAGGCTGCAGGAAGAGCCACGTGCACCGTGGCAAACAGACTTCTCTACCTTCCTCATTTCCTTTTTTTTGGGAAAGGAGGGAGAGCAGGCACAGTTTTACCACAGTCTGATTGTTCTGCTCAGCTGCAGGACTTGATGTCCTGCTGGGTTTGCAGCTCTGCCTGGCCTTGGTGTTTGAAAGAAGTGAAATGATTGAACAAGGGGGGAAGGTCTGGAGCTGCAGGAGGGTTGGTGGGGATTAAATACCAGGAAAAAGCATCTACAGTGAAGGTGAGAAAATGGAGATGCTCCCAGGAGCCCCTCTACTGTGGGTCCAGGCTGAGGGGGAATGGCTGCCAGTGCCAGAGGGCAGCAATGGATGGGATCTTGGCAATGAGGAATTGTTCCCTGGCAGGGTGGGCAGGGCTGGCACAGGGTGCCCAGAGCAGCTGGGGCTGCCCCTGGATCCCTGGCAGTGCCCAAGGCCAGGCTGGGCACTGGGGCTGGAGCAGCCTGGCACAGGGGAAGGTGTCCCTGCCATGGCAGGGCTGGCACTTTAGGGATGACATTTTAGGTGGGATTTAGGGTCCCTTCCAACCCAAACCCTGCTGTGATAATGAGGAACAGGGATCACAGTGATGAGCCATGAGGGAACACGAATCCCTCTGTACCACCACAGCCCCATCCCAAAGTCTTGCTGAGCCTCCTCTGTGCCCAGAAAAACAGGGAGAGGAGTGGGAGAGGAGCAGGAGCAGCTCCATCCCATCCTCATGGGAAGATGTCCAGAGCATCTGGATCCCTGGCAGTGCCCAAGGCCAGGCTGGGCACTGGGGCTGGAGCAGCCTGGCACAGTGGGAGGTGTCCCTGCCAGGGCAGGGTGGCACTGGGTGGGATTTATGTCCTTTCCCAAACCATCCTGGCATTCCATGCTTCTACTTTTCCATCCAAGGTGATTTTGCTCAGTTTCCTGATGGCCAGTGCTGCTGCAGAGGAGGGATGGGATGTGTGCAGTGCTGACTCCCAGCCGGAGCTGAGCACAGCTGGCACCAGGGGCAGGACGGGCACCAGGGCGGGTGGGGCTGGCAGGGAATGGCCCAGGGGGCAGGAGAGCAGGGCTGTGGGAGGCTGGAACACCCTGAGCACGTCAGCCCTGCTGCTCTCCAGATGGGAGCTGCAGGGATGGAGGCTGAGGGAGCTGCAGGCACTTGCCAGGATCTGCTCCTCGGAAGAGGATGTTGTGCTGATCCATCCGGAGGAGCGGCGCCAGCCCTCACCTTGTTTAGCTCCGAGGCTGCACTCTGGCTGTCTGCAGGGAGGGATGGATCACAGGAGGCTGCTTGCCTGTCTCCTGGGCCTCGGGAGGGTGCTGTCCCTCTCCCTCCTGCCCTGCATCGTGGGCAGGAGCAGCAGCCCTGTCCCTCGTGTCCATCCAGGGCAGTCCGTGCTGTGCTCTGCCTTCCCAGTTTGGGTTCCCAGCTCCCAGCTCCCTTCCTCTGTCCCTCTGTCCATCCAGGGCAGTCCGTGCTGTGCTCTGCCTTCCCAGTTTGGGTTTCCACCTCCCAGCTCCCTTCCTCTGTCCCTCTGACCATCCAGGGCAGTCCGTGCTGTGCTCTGCCTTCCCAGTTTGGGTTCCCAGCTCCCCTCCTGTGTCCCCCCAGCTCTGTCAGTGTCACAGGTGTGGTTTAGCTGGGGAAGGGTTCAGCTCCTGTCTAATCCAGCCCTGCATGGCAGGGACACCCTCAGAGCCACAGCTTCTCAGTGCCCTGTGCCAGGGCCTGCCCCCTCAGCACAGGTATTTTTTTTCCCTCTATCTGGTGTGAATTGCCTGATGTTTGGTTCAAAACCAGTATTCGTTAAGTCCCAGCTCACTAGACTGAGCTGCTCTTTTATTTGTGGCTTTTCCAGCACACACTTGGTTGAGTTACAGGAAAAAAATCTGCCTGACTCATCTTTTTGGGCTTTGTTTAGCACTTGAGCCCCCAATAATTACTTTCATCCTCTCACATGCATCAACACCTTTTTTGAATTAACTGTTGAAAAAGGGAATTTCCACAGTGAGTTGTGATTCTGGTGGAAAGTTTGGCAACTTGACAGTTGGACACTTGAGCTGCCCCAGCTCTGTGATCTCAGCAGTGTTTTTCCAAGTGTTTATTTTGTTCTTAGTTACCTGTGCTGCCCTGTGAGATCACAGCCCTTCTGGAGGGGTTCTTCTGTGCAGTTTCCCCTGTACCACTTATTGCCAGGCAAACTGGAGCTGGAAAATTTGGAATTTCATCCTTTTTGTTGTTCTTGTGTGTCCAAATTTAATAAATGTTATCAAGGTTCTGGTTTCCCCCTTAAATATTGACCCAGCTCAGCTTTTCCCTTGGTGAATCCTGTGCCACAATTCCTTGTAAGGCTGCCCTGAGTTCTCCTGTGCCACTCTGGTGCAGGCAGGGTCCTTTGGATTCTGTCAGAACCAAGGACACCCCTCTGGGTGCCCTGGATGATCTGAGCCCCTGGCAGGGGACTGGGGAGTCCTGGCAGGAAGCCAAAGACTTGGGATTTTGATCTTTTCATGGAATAAATTATTAACTTTGTAGGAAGAATCACAGGTCACAGAAGTTTAAGTAGAATGGTAATGAATTTGTCACAAGGTGAAAAGTGGAATTTTGGGGGTTTTACTATAGGAGTCTAGGAGGCAAGATGGAGGGATTTGGGCATTGTCCTATTCTCCTTCTTCCTAGCCTCCATCTTCTTGGTGATGTTGGCACATTTGCATTGGTTTAGACTAGAAGTAAACAGTCTAACATAGGTGATAGGTATTGGAAAATAATGATAAATAAAGTACACGTAATTCATAGTATAAAATGTAGACAGCAGCCCAGGGGTGGGCAATGTGTGCCCTTGAGAGACCTGATGGGTCCAGAAAAGAATGTTTTAGACAAGAGACAACAAACAACCTTGTGAACCAGAGCCGAGGAATTCCCACTCCTTCCACCATGGGGCGGGGAAAAGGGACTCTGGGGTGATCCTGCCTGCAGGGAGCCGAGGTCCTGCGTGGTCCTGGGCTCCAGCAGGGTGTCTGCTCTCTTGCAGTGACTCGTCACAACCACCTCAAGGACTTCATGCTGGTGGTGTCCATCGTCATCGGCGTGGGCGGCTGCTGGTTCGCCTACATCCAGAACCGCTACTCCAAGGAGCACATGAAGAAGATGATGAAGGACCTGGAGGGTCTCCACAGGGCTGAGCAGTCTCTCCATGACCTGCAGGAGAGGTAGGTGCCCATGGCCACCCAGCTGGAGCTCTCGGCTCTTCCTGCAGGGTTCTGTTCCTTCACACTGCGGGAAATGGTTGGTTTTAGCTGTCCTGGTGCCTCACAGCAGCCAGCCCCTTCCTGAGGGACCTGCCACAGCCCAGATGGGGGCCTGGCTCCTCCTGCAGGGACTCCTGGACCAGGCTGTTTTTCCCAGTCACAGAACCAGGGAATGCTTTTGGGACTGGAGCCTGTCCAGTCCCACTCCTGCCACGCAATCCAGCTCACGTGGAATTTGTCATCCAAGCTTGTTTCACCTTGGCTTTTGATGGGGAAAAAGCATCTTTGAACAGTGGGAGCAATCAGGGATTTACACATCCCCTCTTGAATTCTTGGAGCTGTGTGGGGAAGCAATACCTGAGTCGAAGGGTGTTGCTTGGAAAGTGAAAAAAATGCATAATTTTTGAGTATTAAATAGGAATATCTGGGCTTTTGGCATATGGATCAAAACCTGCAGCCTCAGGAATGGGATCTCTGCTCCCAGGAATCACTGCACTGGTTCCAGTAGAGCTACTGATGGGACAACATGCTCCGAGAGAGCCTCTGGACATGGAATCTTCTGGGACAGGGGTGGGTCGTCTTCTGGGTTGGTGATGACAAACCCGTGGGGTGCTCCCACAGTGGAATATGTTAAGGGCAGATTTAGCAAATAACAGAGCAGTATAGTGTGGGCCTTGAACGATTTTCTGTGAGGTTTCAGTGGAGTTTGGGAGGATAAGCCTTAACTAGGCTCCCTGTGAGCTGCATTTCCAGTGACTTCTGTGGACATGGGTTTGGTACATGAGTTTGGTGCCAGGCCAGCCACGGGCTGTGGTGAGTGCCCTGTGCAGGCACCAGGCTCCCGAGGATGTCAGCCCTGCAGCCAGGCAGGTTTTGGGAATCTGTGCAGTGCATCCCCGGGTCTGCAGCCCCACTTCTGGCCCCTTGGAGCCTCCAGGGTTCACCCTGCCCCTGAGTGTTGCTGGAAGGGCTCCTGTTCCCCAGTGAGGTGGCACCACTTGGTGTCCCTGAGGACAGCGAGCTCCCAGGTGATGGAGCCAGGAGAGTTTTATGTCCCAGCTTGGAAGCACTCCCAGAGAAAGTGTGATTTGTTTTTCCTGCATCTGGAAGGAGACAGGAATCCCTTCCCTGCTGTCCGGGGCAGGAGGGCTCTGCTGGTGTCACCTCCGGGCTCCAAACTGGGAATAATGTGCCTGTGGGGAACGACCTTGGGCCCTGCTGCTGAGGGCAGAGCCACGTAAACAAGTGGATGTTCCTGGGAAGTTCAACTAATGCTCTAAAGCCCCTCAGGAAGAAACACAAAACCGCTGAGCACAGCCCTAAGCAGCTCGCAGGGCTCGTCCTCACAGAGGGCACCCAGCAGGAGCTCGGGGACTGCATAGTGACCTGGGGGCCTTGGGAGGCCTCTGGAAATGTTCCTTCACCTCCTCCTCCTCCTCGCCCGGCTGGGATCGTCAGCTGCCACAGGAGCAGCGAGAACTCCCCAGTGCTGCAGGACGTGTGGAGAAGTTGTGCTGCGGTTTGCTCAGAGATCTCTGCAGAGCTCGCAGGGCCCTGCTGTGCCGGCTGGGCGAGGCTCGGTGCTGAGCAGGGCTCTGGGAGGCACGGGCTGCCTCTGCAGTGCCTTCCAGCGCTGCTGGAATGTGCTGAGCAGCTCAGACACGCTCTGAGGAGCTGGGAATGCTCAGCCAAAGCCCAGCCTCTATTCACTCAGAGCACCTTGGAGAACGCCCTGCGGCAGTGACACTTCCCAGGCCATTAAGTGACTCATCAACATCATCAAGTCTTGGCACATCCTGAAAGGAGTGGGCAGGTCTGTTTTGGAGATGTGTGGATTGTATGGAATCTCCGGGAATGTGAGCCCCCTGCTTGCCCAGAGCAGCTGGGGCTGCCCCTGGATCCCTGGCAGTGCCAAGGCCAGGCTGGGCACTGGGGCTGGAGCAGCCTGGCACAGGGGAAGTTGTCCCTGCCATGGCAGGGTGGTCTCACTGCTGGTTCCTGCTGCTGGAGGTGGTCTGTTCCAGCCCTGGCTCCATGTGGGAGCACATGAGGCTCTCCTGGTGCCTTCTCCAGCCCAGCCAGGTGCCTGTGCATGGCCCGTCCTTGTGTGCTGCCCCTGCCCCACTCAGCTAAAAACAACCATAACGACCCCTCAGCTGTGCCCCCAAATCCCCTGGTCACCCCCGTGGCCAGGCACGAGGGGGACACGTCACCAGCGTGTCACTTGTGTGAGGGACATTGGGTGTGGGGCACAACAGGGCCCAGAGCTGTGCCAGCAGGGCGTGGGGGTTGTCCTGGGGACTGCAGGGCTGTGCCAGCCTGTCCAGCAGGGCCTGTCCCAGCTGCTGTCAGACGTGTTTGCAGTTCTGCAGCAGCTCCTTGTCACTGCCATCTTCACTTTGGGACAGCTCCATGTCTGTTGAATTCCCCTTGGCAGTGGTCTTGGCCAGTGGTGTCTTCTCCCTGGGACAGCTCCTGGTCTCTGTTCAGTCCCCTGGGACAGCTCCTGGTCTCTGTTCTGTCCCCTGGGACAGGTCCTGGTCTCTGTTCTGTCCCCTGGGACAGCTCCTGGTCTCTGTTCTGTCCCCTGGGACAGCTCCTGGTCTCTGTTCTGTCCCCTGGGACAGCTCCTGGTCTCTGTTCTGTCCCCTGGGACAGCGCCTGGTCTCTGTTCAGTCCCCTGGGACAGCTCCTGGTCTGTGTTCTGTCCCCTGGGACAGCTCCTGGTCTCTGTTCTGTCCCCTGGGACAGCTCCTGGTCTCTGTTCTGTCCCCTGGGACAGCTCCTGGTCTCTTTCCCCCATGGCAGCTCCAGGTGGGTGCAGTCTCCCCTGGGACAGTGACACTCATCCTCTGTGAGGGTCTCTGGCCCTGCTGGTGCCCTGGCAGCCCCACAGCCCTGCTGGAGCCCCAGCACAGGTCAGCTCCTCAGGGGAGGTCCCACTGAGCCATGGAGAGCCAGGGTTTTGGTGCTGCCACAGTTCCAAGCTGCTGCCACACATTGCTGCTGATTCAGTCTGTCATGAGGAGGAATAAGGATGTGCAGGCAGGATTCAGACATGTCTGAATTTGCAGGATTTTGTGGGAGGAACGTGGATCTGTCCCATCTGGGTGGTCTGATGTGCTCTGGCAGATCTTGCCCTGCTTTGTTTTATCGAAGTCTTCACTTAGGTGAAAATACCAAAAAAATTGAGCTTAATTTGAGGCCCATGAGAGGAAATCTGGGTGTGCTGTGGGAAATGAGGAAAATGCATCCTGACTATTTGATAAACGAATCAAGCTGGGACCGAGCAGTTGACAATTTCCTTTCATCCCAGCCTCAGTGAAGTGTCTCCCTGCATCCCATGGGCACGGCACAGCAGGGCTGGACCTGGTGGGCACAGCAGGGCTGGTTCTGGTGGGCACAGCAGGGCTGATTTTGATGGGCAGAGCAGGGCTGGTTCTGGAGAGCAGAGCACAGAGCTGGCTCTGGAGGACAGAGCAGAGCACAGAGCTGGTTTTGGAGGGCAGAGTACAGCATAGGGCTGGTTTTGGTGAGCAGAGCACAGAGCTGGCTCTGGAGGACAGAGCAGAGCACAGGGCTGGTTTTGGTGAGCAGAGCACAGATGTTTCTGGAGGGCAGAGCACAGATGTTCCTGGAGGGCAGAGCACAGGACAGGGCTGGCTCTGGAGGGCAGAGCACAGATGTTCCTGGAGGGCAGCCCTGCTCCTGGCTGCCTGCAGGCCCAGAGCTGGCCAGCACTGGCCCTGCTCTGTGTGTTGCAGGCTGCAGAAGGCGCAGGAGGAGCACCGCTCCGTGGAGGTGGAGAAGGTGCACCTGGAGAAGAAGCTGCAGGACGAGATCAGCATTGCCAAGCAGGAGGCACACCGGCTGCGGGAGCTGCGCGAGGGCACCGAGAACGAGCTCAGCCGCCAGAAGTACGCCGAGCAGGAGCTGGAGCAGGTGAGCCTCACCTGGGCAGGCACTGCACAGATACAGCATGGGGGCCCTGCTGCTGCACCCCCTGGGAGTCACAGAAACACACCATGGCTGTGCTGCAGCCTGTGCAGGTGCCTTGGGTGCCCCATCCCTTCCCTGCAGTGCGTGCCCACAGCAGCAGCTCTGTGTCCCTGCCAGGGTGGGGCTGCCCTGTATTCCTGTGTCCCTGTCACCATCAAAGACATTCCCAGTGCCAGCCCTGGCTCCTGGGGGACACCAGTCCTCACTGCTCTCCACTCCCCCTGAACCCAGTGCTGCTGCTGCTCTTCTGCCTTTGCTTTCCCACTGCCCTTGGTGGAGGAAAAGCCCTGAGTCTCTTTTCCACAGTGCCCATTACACATCCCAGTCACTGCTGGGGTGCTGGACAGGGCAGGTGCGGGCACCTTGTGACATCCCAGCAGGAGCAGGGGGGTTGGCCTTGCCCTGGAGCTGCACCCGCTGGGATTTCTGACTCCTCTCCAGTCCATGCAGTCTCTATTTGTGTTTATGGTTTTAGGACAGATTTAGAATGAGTTCAGTTATGCTTTCCATGTTTTCTCGTGGATCAGAGGGGTGTGTGAGGGTTGGAGCAGCCCTCTGAGAGCATCCAGTCCAGCCCAGCACGGCCAAGGCCAGCACTGCCCATGTGCCCAGTTGCCACATGCTGTGAAATCCCTCCCTGGCTGTGACTCCAGCATTGCCCTGGGCAGCCTGTGCCAGGGCTGGACAACCCATTCCATAAGGAAATTTTCCCAGTGTCCAACCTTAACCTTGCCAAACCTACAAGGAGTCCAAACCCACAGTCCCAGTGGCTGCTTCCTATCTCAGCTGAGGGACAGTTCTCACCTGGCTGCAAGTTACAGATCAGTTTAAACTGAGTCTGGAGTCAGGAAGGTTCCTCGGATGCTCCAGGGCCACGTGTGCATCCTCCCAGCTGTGTCCAGTCCTTTTTGCAAGGCAGGAGCCCAGGGCTTCCCCTGGCAAGGCAGGACCAAGTGTCCTGGGAGCCCCTGGGCAGTGCAGGGGGACAAACAGCAGACCCCCTTCCAGCCTGGGCCTGCAGCAGCCCCGGGGTGCCTGTCCCAGGAGTGCTCCTGTCCATCCTCCTGTGGCCATCCAGCCTCCCCAGGGGCCTGGGGTGTCCCTGCTGGCACAGACAGGCCTGGGCAGTGTAGGGCTGGGTGCCCTGTGCCCCGGCTCTGGGGCTGCCCTGCCCTCACCCTGCCCTTGCCCTGCGTTCCCACCCAGGGAGCCCAGGAGCTGAGTGAGCCGTGTGGCTGCCCAGGCGTCGGCAGGTGAGTACTGCAGTGTCCCACACACTGTGTGACAGTAACCCAGCACTGCCCCTGCCTCAGGACACTCGTGACATTAACCTGTCACCCCCTGACCCCTCAGCTGCTCCAGTTCAGCAGAGCCCTGCTCCTGGAGCATTAACCTCCTCTGCACCAGTTGGTTCTGATCACCACAGCCGCGCTGGAGGGTGTGGATGGTCCTGCTGGATTTGGTGTACAGGATGAGGTGTCCTGTTCCCAGATCTTCATCCATCCCTCCCTCCCTCCTCACTGGGTCACCCTCCACAGACCCCAGTGGGGCCACAGACCCAGAGCACCCTGAGGGAATTGTGGAATGGAATCCCAGACTGGTTTGGACCGCGCTGGAGGGTGTGGATGGTCCTGCTGGATTTGGTGTACAGGATGAGGTGTCCTGTTCCCAGATCTTCAGCCATCCCTCCCTCCCTCCTCACTGGGTCACCCTCCACAGACCCTAGTGGGGCCACGGACCTAAAGAACTCTGAGGGAATTGTGGAATAGAATCCCAGACTGGTTTGGGCTGGAGAGACCCTAAACCTCATCCCATCCCAGCCCTGCCATGGCAGGGACACCTTCCCCTGTGCCAGGCTGCTCCAGCCCCAGTGCCCAGCCTGGCCTTGGGCACTGCCAGGGATCCAGGGGCAGCCCCAGCTGCTCTGGGCACCCTGTCCCCCAGCCCTGGAGCATCTCCATGGCTCCTTGGACTGGCTCCTAGAGCCCCACATCCTCCTGCTCTTGGGCCCCAGGGCTGGGGGCTCTGCACGTGGGGTCTCACCAGGGCAGTGTATAACTTTTATATAAATTTCCTTGTAAATTTTTGCTCTTAGTGTTCCAAATGGGGTCTTAAAGGTCTTCCCAGGAGAATGGAGACACACAAAATAACTCCTGTTTGCACGGATTCCCTGCAGAACCACGAGAGTTTGGGTTGTGGACACTCATTTTAGCCACTGGTCCTTGCCTGTTCCACAGCACTTCCCCCCCACCATTCCCTAAAAACGTTGTTCCTGTGAGTGTTGTGAGCACTCTGTTATGAGCACTCCTCTACCCCAAACAACCAGAGACAGATTTCCTAGCCATGTTTTTTCCATATCCCCAAATCCCAGATGCCTGTGGGTGATAGGCAGAGTTCTGCTGAGGTGGCAGCAGCATCTGGCTGGTGCTGCTGGTGTCCAATGGGAAAAGCCAGGAAAAACCCAGGCTCTGGGACTGAATTTGACATTCTAGGGCTGATATAGGCAGTTTTGTACTGAGCAGCCCTCAATCACACACAAGTGGTGCAAGTGTTTGACCTCCTGTGTGTGGTGCCAGGGCTGCTCCTGGATGGATGGTAAAACAGGGAATTTCAGAGATCTGCCTGTACCCCAGGGCTGGGAAACCCCTCAGGATGGTCTGGGTGAGACGTGCCTGAGTTAAAGAACAAATCCAAGTGAAGAGATGCAGGGAAAAGCTCCAAGTGTGAGCAATCCTGCACAGAAGCACTGCTCTGCATCCGCCCACTGCCTGGCTGGGGCCGTGCCCGTGGGCTGCAGCTGCAGGAGCAGGGCAGCTGCTGGGGCTGGGGGCAGAGCTGCTGTGCAGGGTGAGCCCCAGGGTGCCCCATCCCTGCAGTGTGTCCTGGCACTGGGGTGCCATCCTGCCGCTGCTTCCCTTCCCTTCCTGCAGGGCTTGCCAGGCTGTGGGAGCCTCTCCACTGCAGCAGAGTGCATTCCTGGTGGTCTGCACCACTAAAGGCTTTTCTGGGAGGCTGCAGAGTCCCCCACTGGCTTCTCAGCCACTCCCTTCTAATCTTTTTCTCTGGGGGTGTCAGGGTGTGCAGGAGCCTGGAAGGAGACACCCCAGGGGCGGCTGATCCAGCCAGGCTGTTTCTTTTCCTGACCAGCAGCACATGTTTTGTGTCTAAATATTTTTCTCACTTTCTCCAGTGTGGAAGTTGTCTCCTGACGAGCTCCCTGGGCTTGGCTCGGAGCTGTGGCGAGGCAGGGATTGCCTGGCAGGGGCTCTGGGGGATTTACAGACAGGCAGCAAGCTCTGCAGAGGTTTCCAGAGGCTGCAGAAAACCCCAGAGCATCCTTTGCACCACCTCGTGGCCCGTGCCATCAGCTCCAGAGGGTTTTCCTGTGCCTCATGGTGACATGGGGGGGTCAGGAGGGAGCTCAGCTCGGTGCTGGCTGGGATTTCTGGGGAAGGAGGGTGGCAGGAATGGTCTGGGGGAGGATGTGTGCTCGCAGCAGCCTGCAGTGCGGGTGGCTCCTCAGGTGCCACGGCTCCTCCAGAGGAGTTTCCTGCTGCCAGCACTGCTGAAGCTGCTGGAAGGGGGCTGGCAGCAGAGGGGCTGAGGCGTGGCAGGGCCGTGCCCACGGCTGCTCCACGGGGTGCTGGGCACCTCTCCCCAGGTGCGGATGGCGCTGAAGAACGCGGAGAAGGAGCTGGAGTCGCACTGCAGCTGGGCTGCCCCCGAGGCCCTGCAGAAGTGGCTGCAGCTGACCCACGAGGTGGAGGTGCAGTACTACAACATCAAGAAGCAGAACGCAGAGAAGCAGCTGCTGGTGGCCAAGGAGGGGGTGAGAGCTGCAGCGGCCTCGTGCTGGCTCTGGGGGGTCTGGGGGTGAAGCCTGCAGAGATGGCTTCTCTGCTTCTCCTTGGCTTTGTGGCATCGTGGGATCCCAGAGTGGCTTGGGGTGGGAAGGACCTCAAAGCTCATCTCATTCCGTGGGCAGGGATACCTTTGATTTTATCCCAGGCTGCTCCAGCCCCAGTGCCCAGCCTGGCCTTGGGCACTGCCAGGGATCCAGGGGCAGCCCCAGCTGCTCTGGGCACCCTGTGCCAGCCCTGCCCACCCTGCCAGGGAACAATTCCTCATTCCCAATCTCCCATCCAGCCCTGCCCTCCCTCAGCTCAAGGGCAGTTTTTCTCTCTTCATGCCTTAAATTTGCATCTTGTGGAAGTGCAGCACTATAGAGGTGTGAGCAGGGGCTGAGGATGAGGATGGTGCTCCTGAGGCACGGGCAGGTCCCACCCTGGTGCTGGGTGAGCAGGAGGCCTTGCACCTCTCAGCACCATCCCTGCTGCAGGTGGTGAGCGTGCACAGGCAGTGGAATCCCGAGGTCCTGAGTCATCTCTGCATTCCTGATCTGGGATTTGGTGTGCCAGCCCTGAGGATCAGCCCAGGGAGCTGTTGTGACTCGTCCCCATCCCCATGGCCATATGGAGCAGAGCTGGCAGGAGGGAAAACTGTGTGCCTTAATCTGCTTTGACTGGGAACATTTTAGCATTCCAACAGTTTTCCTTTGGCTGTGTCAGTTCTTGCACCCACATCTTGGCTCTCCTAAGTCCCAGGTTAGCACTGGAGCTGGGACTGGAAGAGCTGTGGGAGGAGACTTTAATTTTTGACACAATGGCACAAACTGAACCTCAAACCAGAAATCCTCCTCAGCCCACACCCTGGGTTTGGTGGTTATTCACGGGAGGAATGAGCCGATGTGTGAGATTCCCTTATTGAGTGAGGTGCCTGGTTCATGGAATCATGGAATGGTTTGGGTTGGAGAAACCCTCAGAGACCTTCAAGTCCACCCATTCCCCGAGCAGTGCCAAGGCCACCACTGCCCCATGTCCCCAGGTGCCACATCCACAGGGCTGTGAAATCATCCAGGGATGGGCACTCCAGCTCTGCCCTGAAAGTTCAGCCTTCCCTCTGCTTTTTGGGAAACTGGGAGAAGGGAGCATGGAATCCCCAAGTGCTGCTTGCTGCTGGGGAGTTCCTCACCCCGGGTCAGGGAGAGTGTTCCTCAGTGCCAGCACCATTCCCACTGTTCCCACAAGTGCAGGCAGCTGCAGGGAATGTTCCTGTCTCAGCCCATCCAGGATGCCCGTGGCCTGGAGGACACTTCAGGTTGTCTTCTTCCCGTGACCTTTCTCCGTTGCTATTGCAGGCTGAAAAGATCAAAAAGAAGCGAAACACCCTTTTTGGGACGTTCCATGTTGCCCACAGTTCCTCTCTGGATGACGTGGATCACAAAATCTTAACTGCAAAGTGAGTGTCTGCCCAGCACCTCCCTCTTTTCCCCCCCTGTCCCAGGCAGTGTCCTCACCTCTCAGGGGCTCTGGGGCTCCTTTTGCTGAACTTCTGTTGTCCTCAGTGACCGGGGTTGGGTTTGCTCCTCCTCACCAATAACCTGATTTTACCTGTGAGAAATGGGATCACAGTGGCATGGAGCAGTTAAGAGTCCTGCCAAAACGAGGTTCCAGGAGGCTGCAGGATGCTTAAGGGATTGTCCTGGAATGGTTTGGGTTGGGAAGGACCCCAAATCCCCCCCAGTGCCAGGGCAGGGACACCTTCCCCTGTGCCAGGCTGCTCCAGCCCCAGTGCCCAGCCTGGCCTTGGGCACTGCCAGGGATCCAGGGGCAGCCCCAGCTGCTCTGGGCACCCTGTGCCAGCCCTGCCCACCCTGCCAGGGAACAATTCCTCATTGCCAAGATCCCACCCAGCCCTGCTCTCTGGCACTGGAGCCATTCCCTGGTTGTTCTCCCCGGGTGCTTCAGCTGCTGCTGCATGTTTGAATTGCTGCATTCCTGGAACTGGAATCTCAAATTTGAGGAGGCACAGCTGACCCCAGCTGACCCTAACATCTCCCCCTCCTCTTTGCACTGTGCACACTTCTTTCATAGTTTTGTTGATTATTTCGTGAAGGTATTGGAGTAAACAAGGTACTAGGATCAGTAGTACAACTATGGTACAACTAGTAGCACAACTATAACAGTTGTGCAATAGTACAAATATTATGATGACTAAAATGTAGAAATTAATTTTTAAAAGTTTTTTTTACTTACGATGTTAAATTTTATTTATTAAATCAACTATTTTTAAAAGTTTTATTATCAGCTTTAATTTTTATACACTTTCATTGAGACGTTTTTGTAAATAGATTCTGAGTGATTAGACAGATTTATATCATTAAATTATATATATTACATTCTTATATATTTTAATTTTATATTAATATATAGTTATAGATTTTAATATTTATTTATATTATAGCACATTTCATATCTATATATAATATATAGTATATTTTAAAATATATACATAATGTACCATATAATTAATATTTATAGTTATTAAAATCGTTAAGATTTCCATTAATTATCTAGTATTTTACTATTTAATATTTATTTCTATATTTATGTCTTTAATGAATATAATTAATATTTATATTTCTTAACACATTTATGTTTATTATTTCTATTATATAATAATATTACTATTTATTAAAAATACTTAATATTTCTATTTATTAAAATATTTGATATCTCTATTATCTAGTATATTTAATTAATTAATGTTTCTATTTATTAAAATATTTAATATTTCTATTAACTATCCAGTATTTTACTATTTAATATTAATTTACTATATTTATGATATTCTATTTGCTTATCTATTTTATGGTTATGTATTTTATATTTATATTTAATATTTATACTATTTAATGTCTGCATTTATATTTTAATACTATTTAGTATTAAAATATTTAGATATTTTTAGATATTTTTATACTTTAATATTATATTTAGATATTTATATGTCTATGTTTTTATACTTTAATATTTTACATTATTAAAATATAATTATTTTTATATTTTCATTTCTATAGTTTTATATTTTAATATTCTATATTATTAAAATATAATTATATATTTATATTTACATTTCTATATTTTTATACTTTAATGTTTTATATTATTAAAATATAATTATATATTTTTATATTTTCATTTATATATTTTTATACTTTAATATTATATTTAGATATTTACATTTCTATATTTCTATACTTTAATATTTTATCTTATTAAAATATAATTATCTGTTTTTATATTTTCATTTATATATTTTTGTACTTTAATATTTCATATTATTAAAATATAATTATATATTTTTATATTTTATTTCTATATTTTTATACTTTAAGATTTTATATTATCAAAATAATTATATATTTTATATTTTCATGTCTATATTTTATATTTTCATGTCTATATTTTATACTTTAATACTTCATCTTATTAAAATATAATTATATTTTTATATTTTATTTCTATATTTTTATAGTTTAATATTTTATATTATTGAAGTATAATTATATATATTTTATTTTTTAATATATTCATTTTACTATATAATTTTAAGCCTTTTTTTTACATCTGCCTGTGTGCCAGTGAAAGAGAATCAGCTGTAGCCTTGTGTTTTAAAAACCTCAGTGTTGCGGGAGGCGTCGGGGCGTGTCCCCGGGGTGTGTCCCCGGGGCGTGTCCCCAGGGCGTGTCCCTGCAGTGTCCCCTGTGCGTGTCCCCGGGGCGTGTCCCTGCAGTGTCCCCGGGGCGTGTCCCCTGTGCATGTCCCCTGAGCGTGTCCCCACATTGCGCCCCGTGTGTCCCCAGGCAGGCGCTGAGCGAGGTGACGGCGGCGCTGCGGGAGCGCCTGCACCGCTGGCAGCAGATCGAGCTGCTCTGCGGCTTCCAGATCGTCAACAACCCCGGCCTGCACTCGCTGGCCTCGGCCCTCAACATCGACCCCGCCTGGATGGGCACGCCCCGGCCCAACCCCTCGCACTTCATCATCACCGACGACGTGGACGACCTGGACGAGGAGCTGGTGTCACCCATGTCCATCCAATGTACGCCTGCCCTGGGAACGGGGGATCCCTGGGAACGGGGGAGCTCACTGGGAACGGGGGATCCCTGGGGATGGGGGATCCCTGGGGATGGGGAACTCCCTGGGAATGGGGGCTTTGTGGGAATGGGGGGTTCCTTGGGAATCAGGGAATGGGGGGCTCTGGGGGCTCCTTGGGACTGGGGGGAAGTCCCTGGGAGTGGAGGAGCTCCCTGGGATGGGGGCTCTGGAAGCCCCCTGGGAATGGGGGCTCTGGAAGCCCCCTGGGAATGGGGCTCTGGAAGCCCCCTGGGAATGGAGGAGCTCCCTGGGAATGGGGCTCTGGGGGCTCCTTGGGACTGGGAGGGGGTCCCTGGGAATAGGGGAGCTCCCTGGTAATGGGGGCTCTGGAAGCCCCTGGGAATGGAGGAGCTCCCTGGGAATGGGGACTCTGGAAGCACCCTGAGAATGGGGCTCTGGAGCCTTCCTGGGAATGGAGGAGCTCCCTGGAAGTGGGGGCTCTGGGGGCTCCTTGGGAATGGAGCTCTGGAAGCCCCCTGGGAATGGAGGAGCTCCCTGGGAATGGAGGAGCTCCCTGGGAATGGGGGCTCTGGGGGCTCCTTGGAACTGGGGGGTTCCCTGGGAATAGGGGAGCTCCCTGGTAATGGGGGCTCTGGGGGCTCCCTGGGAATAAGGGGCTCCCTGGGAATGGGGGCTGTGTCGGCTGGGGCTGGGGGCTGTGGCACAGAGCAGAGCTGGATCTGTAGTTCACCTGCATCAGGAGGGAATCATTGATCCAAGTTGAGGTTTCCATGCCCAAAGACCACAGCTGGCTCAGGAGCATCCCCAACAGGCCAGGCCCCACTGCTGGGCTTGTTTGGAGCCTGGTAATCCCAGCATGGCTGGTGCTTTAGGAATTGTTAGCCATCAGCTCATTCTATCTGTGCTGTTCTGGTCAGCTCAGTGATTTAAGCATTTACCAAAAACCCAACCAAAGGCATGGCTAGACATGGCAGTGGGACAGGAAAAGGGATTATCCCAGTGTCCCCTTGGCCAAGTCCTGCCTTGCTGCTCCCAAAAGGACATTTTCCACACGGTTTCCCCTTGGGTGCTGCACCAGGGACTGAGAGAGCTGAAGGGCAGGGACAGGGCTGGGGACACAGGAGCAGCACCTGGCAGGGCACAGCACCCTGATCCAGGCACTGTCATGGAATCATGGAATCACAGAGTGGATTGGCTTGGAAGGACCTAACTCCCACCCAGTGCCAGCCCTGCCATGGCAGGGACACCTTCCCCTGTGCCAGGCTGCTCCAGCCCCAGTGTCCAGCCTGGCCTTGGGCACTGCCAGGGATCCAGGGCAGCCCCAGCTGCTCTGGGCACTGCACAGTGTAATCCAAGCCAGGGCTGTCTGGGGGGGCAGAAGGGTCTCAGGCTGGCACTGTGTGCTGCAGGAGGTGCCCTGTGTGCCAGGCCCACGTCCCCTCAGCCTGGGGGAGGCCTAGGGCAGGTGCTGAGGGGGCTCAGGGCAGGGGCCAGGGCGAGGCAGGGCTTGGAGGCTTTGGGTAGTGCAGGAGGAAGAGGTACCTGTGTGTTCCCAGGGCTCTGCAGAGATGGGGGCTGGAGCCACACTTTGTGGGGTCAGCTGTGCCTGGGGACATTAAAGCTTCAGGGAGTGGAGGCATCCTTCTTCTTCTCATTACCAGTCACCCTCAGAATCGAGCTGGACATCTGTGATAAAGCCCTGGGCACTGATGGCAGGGATGCTTGGGCAGTCCCAGGGGACACCTGAGGACCTGAGCTGGCCCAGGTGTGAGCCTCCAGCCCCGGCTTCAGCCTCAGCTTTTGGCACTGAGACACCTCGAGGGAGGCATTTCCAGGGAGAACTTCCAGTTCCACCATCCCAGAGCTGGGCAGAGAGCCTGCCCACCCTGCTGCCCAGCTGTGTGCCCAGCTGCCCACCCGCCTGCCCCCTCCTCCCTGCAGGTGATCCAGCCGTAGCAGGCACTGGGCACTCCCATTCCCAAAGCAAGGCAGCCTTTCCCTGTAGGATTTTCTTCCTTTGTGTGCAAAGCCTGCCTCGGGAGGGCAGTGCCGAGTTTCTCCTGGCCAGGTGTGTTGCTGAGGCCCCGTGGTGCTTCCCCCAGTAAATCCCCTCTCTCTCTCTCCTGTCCCACCTGGCTGCCCCCCAGATGCAGCCTGGCTTTTCGGGCGCAGGTTCAGCGACCGCTCCTCGCTGTCCTCGGAGGACCAGTCCCTCTGGAAATACCCTGGTTTGGTTCTCTTCAATTTATTTTCATTTTTTTAATTCTGCCCTCTGGCCCTTTTCTGGACTAAAATACATCCACCAATTTTCCATCTTTCTGGCACGGGAACTAATGAATGTGTCTGTCCTCACTGAGCCATCGGCACCCGCACTAACCCCGGGAAGAGTCTGGTGGGATGAAGAAGAATCTCAGCTGCAGCTCCCACGTGCTCCTGGGGGCAGCTAGGGAGTCTGGGGGGCTGGACTCACTCCCTTTTACCCCTGAGGTGGAGGTGAAGGACCCGGTGAGGCCAGCAGGAGGTGACAGCATTCCCTGTCCCATCCCACCTCCTTCCCTCTGCCCCATCCCTCCCCACAGGTGCTGCTGGTGCTGTGTTCCCCCAGAATCCCCAAATAACCTGAGCAGTGCCACCCTCGGGGAAACCTCTCCCTGGGGATGGCACACAGCCTCCAGGCCTTGGCTTCCTTTGGAATCCTCCCCCTTGGAGCATGGCCGAGCCCCGTCTGCTGTGGGACAGAGCAGGTGGACGTGCCAGCCTCGAGCAGGGGGGGCTTTTCCTTGGGCAGGGAATTTGGGCAGTGTTGGTAAAACGTGTCTGGAGGGAAGTGGTGGGTCTGGGAAGCAAAGTCCCAGCCTCTGCTCCAGAGCTCATTGCTTAAAGTAAGTCTTGGAGAAGGAGAGCATGAAGGTGGGAAGTTCTGAGTTGGGAAATGAAGGATGGAACACCAGGAAAAAATGGGGACTCCTTAGGGGAAAAAGCTTGGCCCAAGGGAAAAAGAAACCTGTAGCAGAAACCCATCACCCCAGTGAGTTACTCTGCAGTCAGATCCCTGTGAACCTCCACAATGAGATTCCCAAATTGGAATTGCTGCTCGAGCTGAATTTAAAAAATCTTGCAATGGTGTAAAATTCCAAGTTCATGGATGGGCACTGTAGGGAGCAAGGAGCAGTGGGAAAGACTGGGATTAACCTTGGGGCTGTGCAAACAGCCAAGTTGCCAGAATTATTCCTTCTTATTCCTTCTTCCACTGGAAATATGTCCTTGTGGATCTTTCAGTCCCGAGTCGTTCCGCCAGAGGAGCTCTCTGTGCCCAGCTGGGATTTTCCAGAGCAGGGATTGCTGGTTCTTCCATTCCCAAAGGAGCTCTCCTCCTCCTCCATTTCTGAGCTTTCCTGTCTCTGCATCTTTTTAACCCATTTGTACATTAATTTCTTATGCACATAAGAAATCCTGAGCAATCCTGAACACCTTATCTCCTGCCAAAGGAGATCATCTTGTGTGGAATGGCACAGGGGGATGGGATAAAGCCAGCCTGGTTGGCTGGGGATGGGCTGCAGCCCTGGGATCCTGCTTTCCTTGAGGGAGGGAGCATTCCCAAGGCTCCAGGCAGGTGAAGGGGCCTCCCCTGGCTCTGGGGGTGACCCTGGGGGCAGGTGTGGGGTGCAGGCAGCTGCTCAGGGGTTGCTGGGCTCCACTTCCAGCCAGGTGTGACCGCAGGGCTGGAGAGATCCCGGGGAGCTTTGAATTCAGGAACTGCTGCTGGGGCTCCAGAGGACATTCCCATGTGGTTCCCCCAACCAAGGGGAATTGGCAACCAGAGGAGAATATTTCTCAGGCTGAGGGTCTCTGATCAGTCCCAGTGACCATGGAACAGGCTGGGAGCAGGTGAGGCCACTCTGGGGCCAGAGTCACCAGTCAGGCATGGAGGAATCAGGCATGAATCCCAGAAAGTGTGGGCTGGGAGTGACCCTAAACTCATCCCATCCCACCCCTGCCATGGCAGGGACACCTCCCACTGTGCCAGGCTGCTCCAGCCCCAGTGCCCAGCCTGGCCTTGGGCACTGCCAGGGATCCAGGGGCAGCCCCAGCTGCTCTGGGCACCCTGTGCCAGCCCTGCCCACCCTGCCAGGGAACAATTTCTGCCCAATATCCTCAATCCCAATATTTTCAACCAGCCAGGGAACTGGCCCTGGATCCCTGGCAGTGCCCAAGGCCAGGCTGGACACTGGGGTTGGGAGTAGCCTGGCACAATGTGAGGTGTCCCTGCCATGGCAGGGCTGGGAAGAGATGATCTTTAAGGTCCCTCCCAACCCAATCCCTGTATGATTCCATGCTGCCAGGGCTCTGCTCCTGGTGCTGCCCCTGCACAGTGAGCCGAGCAGAGCTGAGCTCTGGGAGCGGAGCTTCAGGTGCCAACACTGACCTGCTCACCTGGGCTCCAGCTTTGGGCTGTGCAGGTCCCACCCAGGCAGTAGGACAGGGCCATGAGGAGTCTGTGAGGGTGGAATGGCCCTGGAAGTGCCCAGTTCTTGGCTCTCCAGGAGCCGGGTGGTGGCTCCAGGTGGGGTGAATCACTGTCTGCGTCAGGCAAGATGCTCAGATAAGGTGTTCAGAGGCACCTACATCAGCAGTGCTGGAGTTTTCCATGGGCTGGGCATTAATCCAGCATGTTCAGCACCAGCTTAAAGCTGCTTCTGCATTAAACAGGCCTTAACTGCTGGCACGAGGTGGCACAGTGCTGGTGGCACAGGGACAGCGGGATGGTGCTGCTGGGATGGTGTCAGTGGGACTGGGACGGTGGCACGGTGCCAGTGGGGTGGTGGTGGTGCCAGTGGGGTGGGGATGGTGCCAGTGGGGTGGTGCTGCTCTCATGGTGCCAGCGGGGCAGTGCCAGTGCTGGCGGAGCTCCGCGGGCCAAGCCGTGCCCTCGCTCTCTCTGCTGGCGGAGCTCCACAGGCCGAGCTGAGCCTTTGCTCTCTGCCGGCGGAGCTCCGCGGGCCGGGCCATGCCCTCGCTCTCTGTTGGTGGAGCTCCATGGGCCAGCCGAGTCTTGCACTCTCTCGGCCAGCGGAGCTCCACAGGCCAAGCTGAGCCCTCGCTCTGTGCTGGTGGAGCTCCGCAGGCCAGGCCGTGCCCTCATGCTCTTTCTGCCGGCGGAGCTCCGCAGGCCGGGCCGTGCCCTCACTCTCTGCCGGCGGAGCTCCGCAGGCCGGGCCGTGCCCTCGCTCTCTGCCGGCGGAGCTCCGCAGGCCGAGCTGAGCCCTCGCTCTGTGCTGGTGGAGCTCCACAGGCCGAGCCGAGCCCTCGCTCTGTGCTGGTGGAGCTCCACAGGCCAAGCCGAGCCCTCGCTCTGCCGGTGGAGCTCCGCAGGCCGGGCCGTGCCCTCACTCTCTGCCGGCGGAGCTCCGCAGGCCGGGCCGTGCCCTCACTCTTCGCTCTGTGCTGGTGAAGCTCCACAGCCCAAGCCGAGCCCTCGCTCTGCCGGTGGAGCTCCGCAGGCCGGGCCGTGCCCTCACTCTCTGCCGGCGGAGCTCCGCAGGCCGGGCCGTGCCCTCACTCTCTGCCGGCGGAGCTCCGCAGGCCGGGCCGTGCCCTCATGCTCTTTCTGCCGGCGGAGCTCCGCAGGCCGGGCCGTGCCCTCACTCTCTGCCGGCGGAGCTCCGCAGGCCGGGCCGTGCCCTCGCTCTCTGCCGGCGGAGCTCCGCAGGCCGAGCTGAGCCCTCGCTCTGTGCTGGTGGAGCTCCACAGGCCGAGCCGAGCCCTCGCTCTGTGCTGGTGGAGCTCCACAGGCCAAGCCGAGCCCTCGCTCTGCCGGTGGAGCTCCGCAGGCCGGGCCGTGCCCTCACTCTCTGCCGGCGGAGCTCCGCAGGCCGGGCCGTGCCCTCACTCTCTGCCGGCGGAGCTCCGCAGGCCGGGCCGTGCCCTCACTGTCCCCGTGTGTCGTTGCAGCTCCGGCCTTGCCCAGCACAGTCCGGCAGCGCCTGGTGGAGCCGCAGCACGGCCACGGATCGCAGAGGTTGGTAGAGAGTCTCGTGCCGGGGCAGCCCGAGGCAGGCCCCGTGGCCCCGCTGCGGGCGGGCCGAGTGTCCCTGCGCCGAATGCACAGCCTCACCTCCGGACAGTCCTTCAGCTCCGACCTGCCCGGCTCCAGCCCATCGCCTGCCTCCACCTCCTCCACCTCCTGCTCCTCATCCACCACCACCGCACCTGCTCCTGCTTGCCATGTCCACCCTATCTATTACCATCACACCACCTCTTATTTCCTCCAGATGGATTCCATCCCCGACCTGCCCCCTCCTGATGTCACCTCTGGAGTTCGCTGTCGCACTGGGAGCTTTGGGTATATTGCTGTTTCTTTTCTAGCTGCCTCCTGCCTGCCGTGCCTCAGAGCTGGTGCTTGCTGGGGTGCTCTTTCTCTCACGTTCCTCCTGCCCTGTTCTTTTGGGCCTTTGTTCCGTGATTTATCCACTTTTGTTCCTTCTGCTGCTCTCCTGAGCCTCTAAGGAGGATTCCGTGGGCCATCCCCACGCCCACGAGCTCCCGAGGTGCTCTGCTGTTGTTCTACTGCAGTGAGCAAATGAGAATTCCCAGGTGCTCAGCATTCCCTGAACGAGGGGATGTGGGGAGGTAACAGAACTGATCACCAGACCTGAGCTGCTTTGAAGCCTGGACCTCCCTGGGGTCCTCACAAGCGGATTGCAAAGGGAACATGATGGGTGGGGACCACGAGGTGGCAGCTGGAGAAATCTGGGATGGTTTTCAGAGGTGCTAGAGTGGCAGTTCAGGAATGTGTTCCAGAGTGACTCTGCCTCTGGGCTGGTAGGGATGAGGAGTGGGGGTGTTTTGGCTAGGGAGTGTCTGAGGAGGGAGCTGGAGCTGCTTTTGTTGGCTTTAGCTTGGTCCCTTTCAGCTGGATCCCTGGTACATCCTAGGGACTGCTTATCCTCCGTGCCTCAGTGCCAGAGCTGTCCCAGTGCATGGTGCTGGTGAGGGAGGAGCAGGAATCCTGCCTGGTGCTCCCTGACAGGAGTGCTGTGTGTCCCAAGCACAGGATCAGGCTCCTGGGGTGGCTGTCACCCAGGTGACACCCCACACGTCCTGGTGCCACAGGGTCAGGGGTGCAGCCAGCCCCAGGGTGCTGTGTCCCTGTGGGATCCCCCTGGGGCACTGGGATCTGTGCTCGTGGCCTCAGCTGTCCCAGGCACTCGGTGCAGGCTGTGATGGACCAGGGAATCCTGTCCCTGCCAGGTCATTCCATCTCTGTCCCATGCTTTCTCCATGGCAAAATTACAGCCAGCCTGCTGATCCTCAGTACTGGGGAGCAGGCTGCTGGGAGGAGGCTGGAAGTCTCTGGGTGAGGCAGGGGAGAGGGGAGATGTCCTTCCACCATCATTTCTCCAGGCAGGGAAACATTCCCAGTCACCACATCTTCACCCATCCCAGCACGATGTCCCATTGTCCCTTACCTGTGGGTCCCTCTGCCCTCGGGTGCTGGGGTCTCTCCTGGCCTTGCTCAGTCTCTGGTTTGGGTGTTGCACCCCCTCCCTGCCCCGTGTGTCTCCAAGCTGAGCAGCCCCAGGCATGTTCTGGAGTCTGGAATACTGAGGGAGGAATTCCTGCACCTGCTCCTCAGTGGAGAATTAAAGAGCAGCATCTCAGTCAATTCAGTAATGGTTGGTTGGGGATGATGAGAGGCAGTGTAATTAATTAACTCCTACCAGTGGGAGCTCAATTGCAGCTGTCCCAATTGGACTGGTAAGAGCTGGGAATGCTGCTGGTCCCTGCTTCCATTGCCTGCCTGGCTCTGCAGGAGGGAGGGCTCATCCTGGCAGCCTGGGGCTCATGTCCTGTGTCCAAACCAGCTGTTTAAACGTGATTTATTTCCACCGAGGCCCGTGAATGCCTGCCCAGGACAAAGCCTGGGTCCCTGCAGACCCCCTGAGAGTGGCAGAGGGAAATGGAGTCCAGTGTGGGGACCCCAGGAAGGGAAGGGATGGTGCCAGAGGAGGGAATAAGTGGGGCCTGCCCTGGTCAGAGCCCAGCTGGTCACCGCTGGGTGCCAGCAGCAGTGTCCTGTCCCTGCTCCCGTGGCTGAGCCTGGCTGGTGGTGCAGGGGAAGGGATGGAGTCAGAACCTCCCAGCCAGGACTTGCTCCAGCTGCAGCTCAGCAGGCAGTTCCCTGCCTCACCTCATCGTCCCTGCTCAGCCCAGCAGCAGAAATGAGGAGCAGGGTGCCCGAGGCTGTGGGTTCGTGGCGTGCTGATGGTTGTTTTGTCCAGCTGCATCACTAGCAGGCCCTGCTTTGATGCACCCCCAAAGGCGCCGATGGATTGCTGCCCCTCCTTGATGGCCCCGCTCCCGGAGCCTTTCCTGCCATCCCTCAGCCTCCTGGGGTGAGGCAGCCCACGGGGAGCCTCAGAAAGGCCTTCAGGGAGGAGCAGAGCAGAGTCCTGGCTCCCGTGGTGGGAGGAGTGTGCCATCCTGGCAGCGGGGCTGCTGGAGCTCTTTGGGCTCTCCCGCACCCAGCAGAGCCAAGGCTGGGCAGAGCTCGCAGGAGAAACATCTCCAAGGAGCTGCCCCGAGGAGCGAGGCTGGGGACGGCTGTCTCCGGGGTCCTGCTGGGGTTATCCTGGCAGGGAGCCTCTCCCTCAGCTCCTCACTCTCTGCTTCTCTTTTGCAATTGGCTTCAGAGGATCCGGCGCCAATAAGGTCAGAGCGGGTCCGGGCCGAGGCGGCTGCGGGATCGGGGGGTCCCCGGGGGGAGAGGGGCTGGGGGCTGTGTGCACAAGGGTTTCTGCTGCCAGTGCCTGCCTCAGGTGCATAAAAGCCCACGGAGATGGGCATGGAGCACCACATGCCCGTGCCCAGGCCCTTCTCCAAGCAGGAAGGGAGGCGGCAGCCAAAGCTCAGGGAAGGGAGAGAGTCAGGAATGCAGGGAAATGAGTAATTCACAGCTCTGGCAGGGTGGAAGGGAGGAAGCTGCTGCTGGGTGTGCGCTGAGGCTGCGCCAAGCCCAGCCCCACAGCAAATCTGGGACTTTGCCTTGAGAGAAGCCTTGGTCCTGGTGCCACACACACGGAGCCCGGCAGCCAGGGGTGCTCAGGAGCCAGACACAGAGGGACGAGGCAGCCAGGGCTCTGTGCCTGCTGCTGCACACCCAGGGCAGCCAGACACACAGGGACGAGGCAGCCAGGGCTCTGTGCCTGCTGCTGCACACCCAGGGCAGCCAGAGACCCGTGCCCGAGGCAGCCCGGGCGGGGTGACCCAGAGAAATCACCGAGGGCAGCCAGGGCTCTGTGCCTGCTGCTGCACACCCGGGGCAGCCAGGGCTCTGTGCCTGCTGCTGCACACCCAGGGCAGCTCCTGGGCCGTGCCAGGCTGGACCCCAGTGGGGACACCCAGAGAAATCCCTTGTGGGCTGCAGGGCTGGGGAAAAACAGGTGTTTGTTCTCCATCCTCCTGCTCCTCCCCTGCTCCTCCTGCACTCCCAGCTTCCTGTACTCCAGGCTTTCCTTATTCCATGCTTTGCTCTCTGCTTCTTTTGTTCACCATCCCCATCTCCTCACCCTCCCTCCCTCCCTCCCTCCCTCGTGGCTCAGGTGGGTCCTGGTGGGGTGGGAGGGGGCCAGGAGGAAGCAGATCCATCCTGCCTTGGGCAGGGTCACTGTGGAGGTGCTGGAGTGCCTGGATCCATGGAAAAGAGCAGGGAGCACTGCTGGCATGGAGGAAGGCTCGGGCTCTCAGGTATTTCCCTGTCCAGTTGCTGCTCTGTGGTTTCCAGGAGGAATGAGCTGTCAGGGGCTCCTGCTGCTCCACAAAAACACTTCCTCTGATCCCTTCCTGGGATCCCATCAAGGCCAGCCTGTCCTGGGATAGCTTTTCCTCTTGAAAGTGTGCTGGAGCAGTTCAGGAGCATAATCCGCATGGAGATCAGTGGGATACAGGCCAGGCCTTGCTGAGCCTCATCCGGGATGGTGGCAGTGTCCTGGGAATGCTCTTTCCTCCCCCTTGTCCTGGCATGGACTCAGGAGTGTCCACTGCCCTGGCTGCCTCTGACCCAGCCACTGTGATCCCAGGAATGCTGTCCCGCTGTTGTGCACTTCCTTGTGGGAACCACCAGGAAAGGGCTCATTTGGGGCTGAAGAAAATCCCAGAAGTTCCTGGCCACTGGTGCTCAGCTCCCAGAATCATCCCAGTAGGAATGCAGGAGGTCCCTGTGCCTGTGCCAGGTGTCCCTTGGATTGTCCCTGGCGTGGTGGGTGTGTGCTGTGAGCCTGGCACAGCAGGGTGGGCACTGCTGCTGCTGTCACCAGCTCAGCTCTTCCCTGTGCCCTTCAGGAATATATTCCTGATTTACAGCTGGAGAGGTTGTGCATGAGCAGAGTGGGAATATTTGGGAATTGCTCTTGACCATCAGCTCCTTCAGTCCCCTGGATGAGCCCAGAGGGATGAACTGGGGCTCCCAGGGTGGAACCCACTCCAGGGCTGAGGATCCAGGGAACAGCCACCCCAGGAGCAGGGACACCGACCCTGTGCTCAGCCAGAGCGTCCCAGGAGGTGACACAGTGGCTGTGGTGTCACCGAGGCCCTGCCCACCCCCCGTGCTGTGGCACCAGCTGTCCTGGGATCGGGTTCCCAGCGTCTGCTCCCCGGGCAGATCCTCCTGGAGCAGAGCATGGATCTCCATCTGCTGGCATTGCTTTCTGCACCGGCTGCAGGGCTGCTTTGGTCCCTGCTGCACTGGAACCTGCCGGGCCTGAGGAGAGGGAGCAGCTCTGGAGCCCAGCAAGGAACACTCGCCCTCTTCACACATCCTTGGAGTCTCCTCAGTTGAAGGAAAATCCAGTTTTGCTGTATTTGCTGCCCTCTGGCTGTGTGAAAGGATTTATGTCACCGACCCTCGCCCGGATCTCTCCCCGTGGGATCGTGGCAGCCAGAAGGGACGGGCTGATTTCCTGGAAAAGAAGATTCTGTGGTGGAGCTGGGACACTGCCTGAAGGGAGGGGGTACCCCATCCCCAGCCAGGGCACCCGGGTCCCTCGGGGCTCTCCCAGCTGCTCCGTGAGTGCAGAGTGGGCACTGCATTCCTGCCAGGATCCCACCCTGCCTGGCCTGAGCCTGGCTCTGCGCAGCACCGTCCCTGTGCCAAGGCTCTGCCCCACAGCCTCGCTCCTGCAGCTCTGCCACTCCCGGCCTTGGGCTGGTGCCAGCCCTGCAGCCAAAGGCTGCTCTGTGCTCCTGGAAAGGGGCACGCTCAGGGATTTGTGGAGGAAATGAACCCCTGAGTGGGTGTTCTCAGCATGTGCAGGTGAGGGCTTCTCCACCTTCCCTGGGAGAGGAGTGTCCAGGCAGGAGTTCCCAGCAGGAATTCCCCTTTGCAGGTGTGGCAAGGCATGAGTAGCAACATTTGGGAAGGGCAGGAGATTCCTGAATTCCTGACAGAGCTGGAGGCTGCCATGGCAGTGACATTCTCTCTGAGGGCACTGGCAGCATCCCGAGGTGTGCCAGCCCAGGGGTGTGCCCATGTTTTGGGGGTCAGCCCCAAAACCCCGAGTTCAGCCCCACTGTTCCCTGGCTGCTGCTGTTCCCAGTTATCCCAGTTACCCCAGTGACAGCCGTGGGCCACCAGCCATGACAGTGACCTTCTGCAGTATCTGCTGGTGGCCCTGGGAGCTCGGTGGCTCCACACGTGTGCTGATGGCCCTCGTGTCCCTTGGGGGGGCTCCAGCTGCTCACTCAGAATGACCTGGGCTCCCTGCGAGGACAAGGACAATGCCAGCGCTGCCCGGGGCTCTGTGCTGCTGGGGAGAGCAGAGCTGAGGTGTTCTGCACCGCTGGGCTCCCCCAGAAGATCCAGGGCTGAATGCCAGGCACCCACAGGATCCCTTTTCCTCTGTTCCCTGGAGCTGCTGGAGGAGGCTTTGTTCCCTGGGTTCTCTTGATGAAATGCTCTTGTTCCAGCACGAGGAGAACGTTCTGGGCCTGTGCCAGCACAGCCAGGACTCCAGAGTGTTGTGGAGAGCAGTGAGGAGGAGTGCCTTCCTCAGAGACCAGGGCTGGGACCAGCGCTGGGAACCATCACCAGGGACAGGGATCCAGGGCAGGGACACGGAGCTGCTGCTGTGGGCACGCACTGCAGGGAAGGGATGGGGCACCCAAGGCACCTGCACAGGCTGCAGAGCTGGGACCCTGCCAGCCTCAGCAGGACCAAGGGCAGGGCCTGCACCTGGCTCGGGGCAATCCCAGCACAAACACAGCCTGGGGACAATGGGCTGGGAGCAGCCCTGGGGACAAGGAGCTGGGATTGCTGGGAGAAGCTCCACGGGCCCTGAAATCTGGCCAGGCTGGACACTGGGGCTGGAGCAGCCTGGCACAGGGGAAGGTGTCCCTGCCATGGCAGGGTGGCACTGGGTGGTCCTTGTGGTTCCTTCTCACCCAAACCCTGCTGGGATCCCTGAACATTCCGCAGCTCTCCCTGGATGTCTCCAGCTCCCTTGAGGAGGTTTTGCCTTGTCTTGCCGGTCTCCTCAGCTGCCTCCAGGCTGATGGTGATGGTGGCACCCCAGGAGATGCTCTGGGGGCTCCGTGCAGTGCCAGGCAGGTTTGGTGTCCCATGTGCAGGGGTCTGTGCCAGGAGCAGCGATCAGGGGGGCTCCAGGGCGAGGGACAGCTCAGCACCTCCCCTCTCTTCCCACCCCTCTCGCTTCTCTTCCCTGGCTCCTTTCCTCTCCATTGCCTCCATTCCGCTGCCCCTCCTGTGCGTGGGCAGGGCCGGGCCCCTCGCCCATCCCGCTGCCCTGGGGAAGCACGGGCACAGGGCCCTGGGGAGGGGGGCACAGCCACACAGCCGGCAGAGCGAGCTGTGACTTGTCATTTCCCTCGTCCTGCCGCTCTCCAGAGGGGCTCCGGAGCCGCGTTGGCCGTCACCGGTAGGCACAGGCTGGGCACAAACCACGTGCAGCAGGGCTGGGCATGGCTTCGAGTGGGGACGGCCAAGCTCTAATTCCTGCCGCCGGGATTAGAGGCTGGCACAGCCGGGCAGGGGGCAGGGGCGGGGGCTCGGGGGGCGCGGGAGCACACACGGATGTGGCAAGGGCTGAGGGACCCTCCGGGGAATGTGGGGGGACACTGGGCTCGGGGCAAGCTGGGAGCGCTCTTGGGTCCCCTGGGATCCATGGGGAGAGATGGATCCTGTCCCAGAATGGGGGATCCCCCTGGGATCATGGGGAGAGATGGATCCCGTCCCAGACTGGGGGATCCTCTGGGATCCGTGGGGAGGGATGGATCCCATCCCAGACTGAGGGATCCCCCTGGGATCATGGGGAGGGATGGATCCCATCCCGGTTCCGTGTCCTGGCTCCCTCGAGCTGCTCAGGGTGAGCCCTGGGGCACAGAGAGGGGCAGAGGCGGGGCCGGGCGAGCAGGGGCTCACTGGCAGCCCCTCTGGGGGTCTCTGGGGTCCCCTCAGCCGCTGCTGCCGTCCGTGTGTGCTCGGGGCCGGGCCGGGCGGGGCCGGCACTGACCCCTCTCTCTGACCCCTCTCCACCGCAGAGATTTAACTCGCTGCGACTCCGACTCCTCCATCCCGCACCTGAGCGACCACCAGCGTATCCCCAGCTCGGCGCCCAAGCTGCTGGCTGCCCGGCCCACGCTGCTGACCAGGTCCATGGAGGAGGCTGCCCCCGCGGCCCCGGGCCCCGGCGCGCCCACCCCCAACGGCGGCAGCCGGCACGGGGAGCCCTCCGCCCTGGCGGCCTTGCAGGAGCGGCTGCCCGAGAGCCCCATGGTGATGAAGAAGATGATGATGGTGAACCACGGCATGGAGAAGTCCTCCAGCCTGGGGGAGATCAGCCACCCGACGGCCGGCAAGCCCAGCCACTCGGATTCGTCGCGGTCGCACAGCCCCAGCTCCACCGACCCCGACACCCCCTCCCCCATCTCTGACTGCCGGCCCAGCGGCGCCAGGAACACCCGCATCCCGCAGCTGGCCGCCAAGAAGAGCCCGGGGGACGAGGACAGCAGCCTGACGGGCGACGAGGTTGACCTCGGCCAGAGCAAGAAAAAGTTCCCCCTAAAGATCTTCAAGAAGCCCAAGAAGTAGGGGGGGAGCCCCCGGACGCGTCCCGCCGGGCCGGGCCGGCCGTGCCCCGGGAGCGCAGCGCGGCCCCGCACCCGAGCCCCCAGCGCCGGCACGGGAGGAGCTATTTAAACTTATTTATTTCCTCATCTCCGAGGCGAGAAGCGCGAGAAGAGCCGCCCCTGCCTGCCTCCCTCCGACCGCTGCGGTCCCGGCTTTGCTGTGCATGGCTTCCAGTTACTCCTGCTCTGCTCAGCCACGCGGCCTTTGGGTTTGGTTTCAATGTGGTTTTATTTTTTATTTTATTTTATTTTATTTTATTTTCTGTCGTTGTTATTAATTTGTTTTCCTGCCTCCTCCGACTTTTGCACAGGCTGAGGGCGGGCTCGCTGGGGTCGTGGCGGTTCTCCCGCATTTCTCCGAGTCACTTCTGCAGGCCGGGCCCTCGGCCGCGCCCCTGGGAAGGGGATCCCCTCCGGGCAGCCCTGGCTGCCCAGCAGCAGGGGAGGACTCTGCCCTTGCCGGTACTTGTGCGCTCCCGGTGCCCACGGCGGGGACGGGGCTGTCCCCGCAGCGCTCTGCCCGTGCGGGGGGACACGGGAGGGACACGCCTGGCCCCGGCTTCACTTCCCCGGGCACCTCCCCGGCCCCCTGCACTCCTCCCAACCCGCCGTGCCTGGGGACGCAGCTGGTGGCGAGGGACAGTGTGGAAAGGACCTTGGTGACAAGGGGCAGTGAGGGAAGGGCCCTGGTGACAAGGGGCAGTGAGGAAAGGGCCCTGGTGATAAGGGAAGGACCCTGGTGACAAGGGACAGTGAGGACAGCTGGTGGCGAGGGACAGTGTGGAAAGGACCTTGGTGACAAGGGACAGTGAGGGAAGGACCCTGGTGATGAGGGAAGGACCTTGGTGACAAAGGACATTGAGGGAAGGGCCATCCCGAGGGGTGCTGGTGCAGAGCCAGGTCCAGCTGCCACATCCACACGGAGAGGAGAGGAGGGGGCTCCCCGGAGCAGGGTCTGTCCCGTGTCCCCTGTCCTGGCTGGGCAGGGCCAGAGGGAGGGACCAGCACACAGCGGGGCTCTCCAGGGCAGGGGACAGGCTGTGCCTGGCTGGCAGGACCATGACAGAGTCCTCCCCGGGAGCAGGTGGGCACTGGGGGCTCTGTGCCCCCCGAGGGACGCAGGAGGCTCACAGGCAGTGTCCCCTCACCCTGAGGCCACACGCCAGGGTGTCCCTGGCTGTGCCAGCCCAACCCGGGGCTCAGTCCATCCTGAGCCACTCCCAGGGCTCTGCCATCCTCCCTCAGCACAGTGTGGGTCACATCCTGCTGCTCACAGCCCCCGGCTCGCCTCGGCGTGTCCCCAGCACAGCCTGGCCACTGCTGGGTCCCCACTCAGGGCAGCGGCTGCGGCTCAGTCCCACTCCCTGCAAGGGCTGAGGCTGTCCTGGGGGCTGAGCCCTGCCCCGGGGCTGGGCACTGAGGGTGAGCCCTGCCCCAGAGCTGGGCACCAAGGGTGAGCCCTGCCCCATCCCCGGGGCTGAGCACCGAGGGTGAGCCCTGCCCCATCCCCGGGGCTGAGCACCGAGGGGGGAGCCCTGCCCCAGCCCCGAGGGGGGAGCCCAGCGCCAGGGCTGCCAGGGGATCCCCCAAACCCCCTCCCACCCCACTCGAGGTGGCTCCCTGGCACCACACGACCCCCCCAGCCCGGGGTCCCTGTCCTCAGCACCCCCTCTGTCCCCAGACCACCATCCCGCACGTCCCCGGGGTGGGCAGGGGGCTGCTCCTGCCGAGGCAGAGGAGGATGCACGATGGGGGAGGAGGAGGAAGAGGAGGCCGGGCTGGATGCCGAGAGCCCCCCGGGGCCTTGCTTTATGCCAGAGTAATATATTTGTGTCTTGACAATTCAGGAAGGGCTACAAAGGTGTTTTTTGTTGCGTAGGCGGGAGTTAAAACAATTTCACTGTTGCTTTGGGATAAGTGAAAAATTCCTCTCAATGACTAAGTGCCTGCATTTCCCTGGGGACGGGGGGACGCGCTCGGCCCCACAACGGGGCTGCTGCTGGGCACCCCGATTCCGTGGGCACCCCAATCCGTGGGCACCCCGATTCTGTGGGCACCCTGATCCATGGACACCCCGATTTGTGGGTACCCCAATCCGTGTGTACCCCGATTCTGTGGGCACCCCGAGTCCATGGACACCCTGATTTGTGGGTACCCCAATCTGTGGGCACCCTGATCCATGGGCACCCCGATTCATGGGCACCCTGCTTAGTGGGTGCCCAGATTCCTTGGGCACCCCAGTCCATGGGCACCCCGATTTGTGGGCACCCTGCTGTCACGGGCGGGGCCCCCCGGGAGCGGGGCCAGCGGGGTCGGGGCCGGAGCTGCTTGTGGTGTCAGAGACCTGTGGATGCTTCTGGAGAAGGGGTTGGGGATCCACCAAACGGCAACTGTTGACACATCTGCCAACTCTTGATTTAAGGTGGTTTTTGTTTTTTGTTTTTTGTCATTTCATAAAACTTTTCAATCCAATAAAGCATGTAGTCTATTTTACGAGCTGCTGGCTGCTGCTCTCTTCTTGCAGCCCTGGCCAGGCTTCCAGCACAGTGGGGAGGGGCACTGGTGCCTGCTGGGGATGTTCCTGGCCAGGTCGGTGGGGACAGAGCAGAGGGACACCCCTGCAGCTCACCCCCTGCACCAGGGCCCTGCCATTGTCCTCTGCCATGGGAATTGGGTCCACAGGCACAGTGGATCCACCCCGGGGACATCCTGGCACTGCCACTGCCATGGGGACAGGGACAGGCAGCCACCCCCAAGCTGCTTCAGGAGATGGGACAGCTCTGTGGGCAGTGGGTTACAGAATCCCAGAATGCCCAGGCTGGGAGAGCCCTTCCAGCCCATGGAGCCCCCCCCAGCCCCAGCAGCTCAGCTGAGCCCTGGCCCCCAGTGCCACATCCAGGCTTTGTTAAACACCCCCAGGGATGGGGACTGCACCCCCTCCCCGGGCAGCCATTCCAGACCTTTATCCCCTGGCTGGAAAAACTCTTTGCTGCTCTGCAGCCTGGATTCCCTGGGTGCAGTGCAGGCTGTGAGCTCTGGCTGTGGCAGTGCTGCTGCAGCCAGAGCCCAGCCCCAGCTGAGCACAGGCACCTTCCAGGAGCTGGGCAGGGTGAGGAGGGCACCCCTGAGTCTCCTTTTCTGCAGGGGAGCACCCCCAGCTCCCTCAGGGCTCCTCTCAGGGTTTGTGTTCCCAGCCCCTCTCCAGCCTCGCTGCCCCTCTGGCCGTGCTCAGTGTCCCAAGGTCCTTCCCAAGCTGAGGGGCCAGAGCTGGGCACAGCTCCCAGAGTCACCTCTGAGGGCCAGGACGTGTCCAGGACAAACAGTGAAACACTCGCTGGGAGCTGTGGTTGGCATCGGCTGGGCTGGGGGATGGCGATGGCACAGAGACGGCAGCAGCCATCCCATGGGATGTGCCCCTGAGGGCACAGGGGCAGCAGCCATGCCGTGGGTGGTGGCACAGGGACAGCAGCCATCCCAGGGGATGTGCCCCGGCAGATCCCAGTGTTTCCAGTGCCCTCGGTGCCCATGCACTCCCCTGTCTCAGCACACCCTCCCCGGGCAGTGCCCGCTGCCGCAGCCCCAGCGTTCCCTCTTTCGGAAAGCCCCAAGCGCATTTCCCAGGGCAGAAATTCCCCGAGCCCGCCCAGCCCGACCTCTGCGGGGTCAGAGCTCCTTGGGGTTCATTCGAACCCTGCAGGGCTCCTCCTTAGCCTGGCGCTCATTAGCGCTCATTAACACTCATTAGGGCCGGCTGCCTCCTCGCGGGCATCCAGAGCACCTCCAGCGGGCTCAGGATAACAGGCAGGGTCAGGGTACCCAGGAGGGGCTCAGCACACCCAGGAGGGCTCAGCACACCCGGGCTGGGCTCAGCACACCCAGGAGGGGCTCAGCACACCCAGGGCTGGGCTCAGCACACCCAGGAGGGCTCAGCACACCCGGGCTGGGCTCAGCACACCCAGGAGGGGCTCAGCACACCCAGGCCGGGCTCAGCACACCCAGGCTGGGCTCAGCACACCCGGGCTGGGCTCAGCACACCCAGGAGGGGCTCAGCACACCCGGGCTGGGCTCAGCACACCCGGGAATGGCTCAGCACACCCAGGAGGGGCTCAGCACACCCAGACAGGGCTCAGCACACCAAGGAAGGGCAAACATCTGTGAGTGCAGCTCGGGCTCCAGCCAGCCCAACATGCCTTTTGGGATTATCTTCCTTCTGTAGGCTTGGGGTTGTTTCTAATCCCATTTTCTCCATTTTTAGGCCATTTTTTTCACCGATTTTCACCATTTTTACCCAAATTTCCTTCATTTTTTCCCTTTTTTTGCCAAATTTTCCCATTTTTTCTCCATTTTTCTCCCCAGAAATTCAACTTCTCCACAGTGAGGGTGGGGGAGCTGGGCTTGAGGTCGATTTTGGGTCATTTCAGGCCATTTTAACCCAATTTTCTCAATTTTTAGATAATTTTTTCACATATTTTCACCAATTTTCCCCACATTGTCACAATTTTTTCCCCCAATTTCCCCATTTTTCTCCCCAGAAATTCACCATTTGGTGAATTTAGCCCAGTTTTCTCCATTTTAGGTAATTTTTTCACCTATTTTCACCATTTTTCCCCATATTTTCTCCATTTTTCCCCCAATTTTTCTCCCCCGAAATTCACCATTTGGGATTTTTTCCTTCTGCAGGCCCTTTTCCAGTAAAGCAGGCAGCAGCCCAGCTTTACTCCCCTTTCCTGGTCAGTTCCAGGCATTCCCTGTGCCCCATCTTTGAGGGGGGGACACTCTGAGCAGGACCAGGCTCACCTGGAACCCCCAGTGGGTGGGAATTTGGCTTGGAATCTGAACGGCACCAACGCCCTCACCTCATCCACGAGCAATAAAAACTGGAATTTCCAGCGCCTTTGAGGCCCGGGATGTCTCTGTGAGCCCCTCGGGACCAGCCTCAGCCCAAGGGCTGATGGCTCCCTGCCCTGCCATGGAGCAAAGCCCAGCGTGTGGGGAGGGGGCACCTCAGAGGCTGCACCCCACGGACAGGAGGTGCTCCCTGCCAGCCTGGGCTCCCCAGTGCCACAGGACACTCGGAGCAGGATGGAGAGGAACTGATGGAGTTTGGGGCTGGGTTCTGCACAGGAACCTCAGCAGGGCTTTGGTGCTTCCCGGAGCCCTCACGGGACCGGGAGATCCACGGGAATGGGTTGGGAGGGACCTTAAATCCCATCCTGCCAGGGCAGGGACACCTTCCCTGTGCCAGGCTGCTCCAGCCCCAGTGCCCAGCCTGGCCTTGGGCACT